TTAGGAGTAATTTGCACCTTTACAACCAAGAGACATAGTTTAACTGCTTGGGTGTTTGCTCCTGAACTGCCAAGTTATTGCGGTGTTTGTTTTTGGGTGTTTCAAGTGTCTGGGTTGTTAAAACATTGCTCACCAAGTCTTTATAAAGTCAGTATTACCTTAAAAGTATTCGAAATAATCTTAATTAGTTCACAAAGATGTTTAAACACCGATCACAACTACCATAAACATTGTTGTTAATTTAATATTTAGATCATTCTACCGTCGGGGTTATTGATCGCAGTTTATTAGGTGTTAGCTTCTACAATATACAAATCAAATTTTAAATCACGTGACAAACTTGTTTCCTTCGTACACACAATTTCTATTTACGTTTCGATCAATCAATTTTTGACCTGATGTATACTGTACTTAGTATTAAATAATGTCTGAGAACTACGGACAGCCGGAGTGACCATCACATTGTGTCAATAATCCTATTTTACCTTCTATCGACGTTTTTGTGACTCAACCCTTTAGGATGGACCGTTTGACTGATCTATTAGCTGTCGGTTGTTCTTAAATAATTATTATCGTATAAACAAATAAGCCACTTCCAAGTCTTGGCGCTGTGAGGCTTCATTGCGGACAACCCACTGGAGTGACCGATTAGCTGGCGTCTGAGATGCTTTTAAGTTCCGTTTGTTTACAGTAGGTAAGCCACGGCCCCCTTGATCCCTAGCCTCCCCAGATCCTCTCCACCTAAACAATTCAGCGGAAACTTGTGCGAGGCGCAAATTGCCGTCTAGCGACGCCGCCGCCGTGACCAGCCACACTGGCGGCAGCAACAACGGCCAACAAGACCCCACCAACACACTCGCCCCCAAATCCGCCGGAGTCATGCTCAAGTCACGACTCAACCAACTCATTAAGCTTATATAGCGATTTATCTCTACTCAGCTTTTTAAATACGTTGTTTAATGTAAGAAGTGACTTAATTTACATATTGAAAGACTTCCTTTGTTGAAGCAGAAATACATAGCAGCAACAAGCACGATTTCAGGAGACGCAGTTATAACGTTACCACACAGGACTATAATTAGTCTGAAGCTTAAATTTCCGTACTGTCTGAATGCATCTTGAGGAGAGCGCTATTAGTGGACTTATTAAAAGGGCGAGTCACTGTCAAGTACCTACACACACACACACACACACGCACACCAGAACAAAGGTAACAACAGAGACTACGGCGGTCGTTGTGGTTATGACTGCACGAAAATCCAGAGTTCGGGGGAATCTAATTACAGACATCTAACCATCACAAGTTAATTACTCCTGACGGCGACGAAGGCCAAGAGTCTACAGTAGGTGGCGCTAACGTCGTGAAGATAAATACCCCTCAAAAGTTAACTCATTATAAATATGCTTAAGACAGAATTTTTACTGCGTGTTGCGTGTGGTAGATGACCCAAAGAGAGAGAGAGAGAGAGAGAGAGAGAGAGAGAGAGAGAGAGAGAGAGAGAGAGAGAGAGAGAGATTCTTCAGGTGATCAGTATAATAAAAAAAAAGATATTTCACCATCCCATAAAACTCAAGTCTGGTAATATTTCTCGGTGTTGAGTGAGCAAGACCTGGTATACTTCCCGGTGTCCCATACTTATCAGGTGACAGACGAAAAGGTTTAAAAGGGAGTTTATATCTGGAGTATTGTGAAGTAAGACGATCGTGATAATGTTGGTGATTAAGATACACAAGAAGAAGGGAAGGGAGGAAGAGGTAGATGGTAAGGGTGGAAGAGGTAGATGGGAAGGGTGGAAGAGGTAGAAGGGAAGGGAGGAAGAGGTAGAAGGGAAGGGAGGAAGAGGTAGAAAGGGAGGAAGGGTAGGGGAAGAAGGTAGATGGTAAGGGTGGAAGAGGTAGATGGGAAGGGTGGAAGAGGTAGAAGGGAAGGAAGGAAGGAAGGAAGAGGTAGATGGTAAGGAAGGAAGAGGTAGAAGGGAAGGAAGGAAGGAAGAGGTAGATGGTAAGGAAGGAAGAGGTAGAAGGGAAGGAAGGAAGGAAGAGGTAGAAGGTAAGGGACGAAGAGGTAGAAGGGAAGGAAGGAAAAGGTAGAAGGGAAGGAAGAAAGTGCAGGAGAAAAGTGGATGGGAAGAAGTAAGAAAGAGGAGAGACGGGAATGGGAAGAAGGAAGAAAAAATGAAATATCAAGAGGAAAAAGATGACGGGAAGAACAAGTAAGAATTTTTCTTTTAATAAATTTCGAATGACGATTTTTTTTTTATCTTTGAAACTTCAGGACACCAGCAAGCATGTTAAATTGAGAGGAATAATTTGCAACACAAGTATAGCAATTGACGCTGCACTTTCGACATTTAAATTCATGTCTTCTAACGTTAACTAATCCACAAAGAGGACAACCTAATCTCTATGATAATTTATCTAAGTCATGAAGACAACCTTATCTTAATCAAGACTATGTATATCCACTAAATCTTCACAATACGTTAAATAAATATCTAAAACTACAACTTAATCCCTATAATAAATTAACTAAATCATCCAGACAAAATAATCCTCTTCTAAATATTGTTAGATAGATCTTCAACCTTCAGGGAAATCCTATATATTAACTAAATCAGTATTATATAATCTTCAAGAGACTCTACGTTAACTAAATGATGAACACAAACAACCTCATCCTCCTGAAGACCCCAAGTTAACAGGAGGAATAAATAACCTCAAATAAAAAGCCTCAGGAGGTAAATAAATCAATAAAATAAATAAATAAAAATCACCAGAAATATTCCTCGATAGCCACACTACTGCTCGCCCCTTGAGACCTAACTCGGTAACAAAACAAAATAAACTTATAACACATAGGTGCATCAACACTTCCTAACCGATAAGTTAAGTATAGGACCAAGTGATCAATTAGAGTTTGGAGGGAAGCGAGATTGGGGAGACGGGAAGCGAGATTGGGGAGACGGGAAGCGAGATTGGGGAGACGGGAAGCGAGATTGGGGAGACGGGAAGTGAGATTGGGAGACGGAAGGAGATTGGGGAGACGGAAGGAGATTGGGGAGACGGGAAGCGAGATTGGGGAGACGGGAAGCGAGATTGGGGAGAGAGAGAGAGAGAGAGAGAGAGAGAGCAGACATCGCCACCAGAATCCCTTACCAAACTAACCATCGTTGTTTGTCAGGGAAGTCACGAATTTTCGACTGTAGCAAAAATTAACTATAAAAAAACACAACTAAATCCAAATTGAGAGGCACTATATAATTATGCTAATGTGGGTAGGAAGGAAGGAAGGAAGGAAGGAAGAAAGACGGGGAGAGATGGAGATAAATTAAATCCCCTCCCCGAAACAATTAATGGTATAGAGATTTTCCGGTGTATTTCCTCATTCTCAACTGCAACACAAACTAACATAAATAACTAAACACTACTCAAAGAGGTGAGGAGAAGTTGCAATAATTATGACGTCGAGTGAGGGAAAGCGGACGAGGGAAGTGAGAGAGAGCTCGTTAATATTGTTTTAAAAGAGTGAGTTCCTTCGTTAAACCGAGCACAAGTCATAATCCCATGCAACAGAGAACTTAAAAATACATTCAGGTTGGCGCAGTGTTACCGTAAAAGTGTAAGTGAAGGGAAGGAAGGCAAGAGAAGATAATAGGCCGGGTGCTAACCAAGGCCGTGAGGTGGCGCTAGGTGGTGGGGACTTGAACGAGACAGCCAGCCAGCCAGCCAGCCACTCCCTCCCTCACCGCCGCCACCACCATCATCTTCACCAGCCTGACTCCTCTTCTTCTTGTTGGGTTGATCTGCTCAGCTGCTCGCAATTTTTTTTTTACAACTATTCTCTTCTTTTACGTTCGAGAAATTACGACACGAGACCGTTGCTTCATAAACTTTGGCAGATGACGAAACGCTTTAAAAACTTAGCTTACAAGGAAACGCAAGATGAAATGCAGTTTAACGTTTCGTCCTAGTTTGAAGCCTTTCTCCACTGTGCAATTTGGGTTATATTCCGTGGCAACAATTATGTTTTACAAGGGCTAGAATGAATAAATGAATGACAGCGGATGAAGGGATGTCTGTTGCAGCAATAAGAATGAATGAGTGAATGAGCTGTAATAATTTAGCAGCACAAATACCTAAGAATGAAAGAATGACAACGAATGACTGAATAATCGGGGTTTCTCTTGCTATCATCCAGTCTGCAATATGACGAGAAAAAATTACTATCGAAAAAAATTACTCGATATTGAAATAAACGTATAAACCTCTTATGTTTATGGAAATTTACTCCCATTAAATTCACTAAGCTGTATATATCATGCAGATTAAGTGTGATACAATTAAAAGAAACAATCTACACTACAAGGCAATAAATTTTAGGATGATAAATATTGCTAATGATCGTATTCATGACCAAAAAATTATGGGCTCGTATCCCTACATTAATCATACTTGACCACGGGGCTAATATATTTAACCCCCTACTCCGGCTAATACATCAGTGTTGACAGGTATGAGGAGTAAGGTCAGCCCAGGTCACACTCTTGTTAAATGGTAAACGTTTCTCGTCAGTTATGTTTGTAGATAACTTTTAATCACTTAGAATAACTTTCAACGACAAAACCAGGTGAGGGTGATGCCAGGTGTGGGTGTCGCGTAACATCCAAAGAGCCGCTCAAGTTACGCAAAATATACGCAAAGTTTATAAGATCAATCTTAGTACGAGAAAGTGGAACTGAAGCGACAATCCTCGAAAATAAAAGAAAATATATAATATTAATATTTCCCTCGACTTTAAATTTCAAGATTAACTTTACCTCAAAATACAAAGTAAAATATTTGACCAACATAATACTACAAGTGAAACTCATAATTCCGTGGAAATAAATTATGCACTTACCTCACGATCGTTAAAATAGACTGTTAAACACATAAAATCTCAAAACCTTTTAAAACACTTGAAAATGATAGAATATACCAATCACAAAGCTTATTATTACCTTGTTGAAATATTCCATCCACTCGGTAAAGTATCAGTTCACAGTCACACGATAATAAATATATAATAATCCAAGTTCATTAAGTTTTCCTTTCTTTTTTTTTTTCTAGTACAACACAAGTCACTGGTGAGGGGGCAGTGGCCGTCACCCCCGGAGACACGAGCGAGATGTTGCCTCAACGACGAGCGGGCGACAACTGACTCGCCCAGGCAGCTACTAACCCCAGCCAGCGCCCAGGACTCACCCTCTCACACACACACTCGGGGGGCGGGCAAGGAGAGGCCGATGTTGAGGGATAGATGTTAAAAGGTGTAAGGAGGGATCGTGATGTTGCGGCAGGGTGGGGATAGAGGGCCTTGCTGAGTGGGGTGCTGGTGAGAGAGGCTCATGGCTGGTGAGGAAAAAGGGGAGATCTACGTAGAGGCTTGGTGGTGGTGGTGAGAGGGAGGAGGGATTGTAAGCCCGTGGTGATGATCTGGGTGTGAGTTACAGGTACGATGGCGGGGATGGAGTGGTGCTCGCTGGCAGGAGTGGCGGTCGTCAGCAAAAGTGAGCCTCAGTCGCGGTGGCCGGTGGTTCAATTAAGGTAAATTTGGGTGAAGTACAATGTCTCTCCAGGGAAATGGTTACGCCTGAGATTTTGACAACCTTTCTCAGCGGAGGATATGAGAAGAGGATAGTATAAATATTTGACGCACACATTTTTCTTATTATATTTTGTAACACTATGCAATTAGGATCCACCTGAAGTTTAGCCCCCCCTCCCACGATGACCTTTAATAACCTAATCTAACCTAACCTAACCTAACCCCCCAAATAGGTTATAGCGTTTGACAGTTTAATCTTAATGTGTAATAAATTAGGGACTGCTAATTATCATAAGCTCCAATATTTCTTACCATAGTTATATTTTAGTTGGCAGTAGCTGTTATTAACGTGTATCTAAACCTCACATCAGCAATTCACAACTATCACTCGATTCCTTGGTTTATCACAATGACTGACTTAAATATCTTTCCCGCAACTATTTATATTAATCCAAACCTCACTTACGCACCTCATTAATGGTACAAGTTATAATATACTTCATCACACACATACGCACATAAACGAGTAAGTGGACCACCGTAAACGCATCTCACCACTTAGAATACATGTACGTGTTTGACGCCCTTCATCGGATACGCACATAAAGTACACACGAGGCCCAGGTACCCAACGACAGTAAATCCAGTTTGTAGACCAGACCGATAAATTACCACACTCCTTCTCCATGCCAAGTATTGACCGATAATACCTATAATTGAAAAATATAATCTGATTAAAAACACTCATCAGTGGAAACTTCCAATTAATTTCGAGACTTAAAATAATAGGGCATAATTTTTCACAGGTAATATGGTATAGGTGTTACAGGGAGGGGAAGGGAAGGGGGGAATTTTTGGAATTGATCAGTCATCCTTTCCCTCCCAGTTTCCCCCTTCACCAAAACTGTGGATAGATTGCATACCCTCATCCCCCCCCCCTCCCTTCCTCTCCCATTATCATCCATCTTCTCAATAATAATAATAATAATAATAATAATAATAATAATAATAATAATAATAATAATAATACCACCCTTAGCTAGAACAATACAATAAGAGTAGCACTAAACACGTTCAGATGATATTATCCCCGGGTTGTGGCTTATTAAAGTTATTATTACCCAACACAACAAAGAATCACAATTGGGCCCCCCAAAAAAAAATTCTCAGAGAGGGACCATCTTGTCTCTAGCGTCACCCATCATCTGTACCAAGTGACGTAAAATTTAGTTACAAATTATTGCCAGAATTGATGGTTTACAAACTTAGGATTACAGGCACACAGCTTGTAGTATCAAATAGCTAATGACTACAGAATGAAGTACAGAATATTTCAAATAACAAGAGTAATATTATCTTGCAATATTAAATTTTTGCTACAATTACAATAGATAACATGATATAACAGTAACAATAATAGTACTGTACTGTACTTTCAAATCAACACGAGTTTGAATCCTTCTACATTATTATCATTATTATTATAACAAAAATTCCAGTTTTTCATTCGGTTAACTTCCAAATTTGATATTCATATTATAGTGAATCCTCCAAAGAAATATATTAATTACTAACACAAACAAGGCGTAAATAAATCTAAGGCATTTTCCCATAACATTACACACACACACATACCTATTCCAACCCCCATTAGCATACATGAAACATCTGAGCCAATGATCATGAACTACACATCTCTGGTTGAAACGCCCTCTTATTAGTCCAAAACAAACGTTACTGATCCAAGGTTAGAGTTTATAGGTTTGGTTCGGTTAAATAATGTTAGGTTAGATTAGGTTAATTTATGATTAGGTGTGGTAAATTCAGGTAGAATAAATTAGGTTTGGTTACAGCAGATGGGTGGGTTTGGTTTGGTTAGTTAAGCTTCATATAGATAATGATATGTTACATTAAGTTCAGGTAGATTATACAAAGTTAAGTTAAGTTTGATTAGATAAGGATACACTCTCCCATAACATAAGGCAAAGTTGTCATTTTCCTTACAAGAACAAGGAACATTTGCTTCCTCCTCCCCAAGTTCAGCCTTTCAACGGAGTACCGCAGGATACGTGGCGACATAACTCAGATATTCACCATGATAGGAAGGATATAACAAATTTGTCCATCAGTAAGACAACATAACAATTCCAAAGTCCTACTTATAAACTGTATGACACACATCACCATATGAAGCCGAGATAAAACAGCTTAAGCAAGACGTATGGAACAGCTTATATGACTGGGTGGCCGTTTTCATGTGCTGACCAACATAAAAAGATCGGATAGGTACTAAGCATGTAGTCTCTGGCCCTCCCGATTTAGCACTGAGTAATGCCAAAAGCAGATTCTCTGTCTAAATAAAAAAAAAATATCTGGACTGTGTCTGACGTGCATAAGTACCTAATGAAACAATGGAACAGTGACAGGACAAAGTGATCAGGAACAATATTCACTGTTGGATTTCATACAGTATCCAGGAATTTAAAATACAGGCTTCCTATACTCGCTTAACACGCTGTTATATTCTGTAGCCATTAGGGAACAAAGTGACTACATGAACAGAAGAGTACATTGGTAAAAAATATAGTTACCCTTATAATCTGGTTCATTTTCTATTAGAATATAACTTAAGAAAATGGCTTAATATGGTATACTTAAGAAAATTGACTTCGATTTAATACTATACAAGAAAAGGCGAAACAAAAGGCTGTTGTACACTAAGAGATGATGGTGATTATCTGGCACATTAATACGTTCCATTTATACCAAGAAATTATTGTAGCTTTTTTTTCTCTACAATTCCTAATAGTAACAATTTTCTCCTCTGAGAGTCCCATCTTTTAACCGCCCTAAACCTTGCATTTTGCGAATTCAATTTTTGGTGAAAACCGTACAAGCAGTCATCAAAATACTACACAGGCAAAATGAACCAACCAGAAGTAATCAAACCTACCTAACCTAAACTAATAATCTAGGAATAAACCCGTATTGCCTATTAGGGAAGTTAGGAAAGGTTAGGTAGGTTAGAATTAGTTTCGTTGGTTATTTTTGCCTGTTGTAAAAGAAGTGCATGGTACCAAAGCCGCCATAATGATATAGAACAATAACACCTGTACAATAATGCGGCCTGTCTGTCTGTCTGTCTACCATTAATTCGCTACCCAACTTTATTTTCACCTCATAATTAAATACCCGAACGATACCGGGGGGGGGAGGGGGGTGGGGGGGAGTTAGCTTAGGTTGTCAAGGTAGGGTATTTAAAATCTAATCCTGTCCAGCTAAAATCAAATCTTCAGCTAAAAATTTAATCCTGCCTGATTGAAATCGAATCCAACCCGTGTAAATTCTAAACCAATCTTGTTCAATTTTAATCCTACCCACCTATCACTCAATCCTAGTCATCTCTTCCACCTAACTAAAACGCTAGTCTGAGTACTGTTCTGGACTTCGCGGTGTTGCCTTCCTCGGTACAGTACTTAAGTTTTAATATATCAAGTTAACTGGAACTAGGTTGCACTCGAGCGATATGCCAATTAATGCTAGGGAGTAGGACTTCATTACAGTGAACTTGATTACTTGACCCTATAGAAAAATAGTGTGGCTCCAATGGGTTGTACTAGTAAATAAATATTCATGTATGAACACTAACCTTTTTCTCAAGCAATGTTGGCGATATACAATAGATACGGTAAGGCCTCTTTGGGTAAGGCAATCCCAGTAGGTATGATAGCTAGTAAGTTGAGGGCTTCAGTAAACAAAAAGTAACACAGAGGGAGAGAGTTTTCAACCTGAAGTGATTGCCCTCGGTGGACCGCTCCCGAAATCCCAGGTGAACCCTGTTATTCTCTGCAAATACCACCTCTCCAGGATCGCCCACTGGTCCCCAGGTAGGGTCGTCCTCTACACTAATGGTTCTGTTGACCCCGCTACAGGTAGGGCCGGGGTTGGTGTCTACATCTCCCGTCCTGATGCCCCTGAGCCTATCAAACTGTCTCTCAGAGTTTCTGACGGGGCATCCTCCACTCAGGCTGAACTAATAGCCCTCCTTGCTGCCCTTCTCGCTGAGGAAGAAGCAGATGGTTTCTGCCCCTTGCTTATCTACTGTGATTCCAGGTCTGCTCTCGACGGGATCGCATTTAGATCAGGGGAAAATAAGGACCTCATCCTCCGAATACGAGGGTTAACATCCACACTTCAGGATGCAGGCCGTTCTGTGACATTCCTATGGATACCCAGTCATGTCGATATCTTGGGGAATGAGGCAGCAGATGGCCTTGCCAAGACTGGCTGCAACTACGTTGTTCCTCGAACACTCTTACAGATTAGGACCCAAATTCGCCGCAAACAGAGAGAAGCTCGGGAAGCAGCCATCCCCCTGGACTCCCCGCCCACCAGTACGATGTCCTCCGTAAACTTCCTGACCTCTCGTACGTCTACGGGAAAGGGTTGCGGAAAGGGGAAGTGATTGCTGCCCATATCATCATTGGGTATTACTTTGCTTGGGAGATTGGTATCCCCGCAGCCCCTGAGCAACGCTCTTGTGCATTATGCAGAAGACCCGACAGCAGCACCCTTATCCACTACCTCCTAAGATGTCCCCACACACAACGCTTCCGTGACGCCTGCTGGACCACCACTCCACGACCTCCTGACGGAGACACGATGATCCTCCCCATACTGGCCAGATATTTTGTAAATAATATTGATTATGTGTTAAAGGAATATCCTTCCTTCCTTAGGCTTTAGTAAGCCCCTTTATAATATTTATACTGTATATACTTGTCACACTTGCCAGATGCTTCTGGTGTCATTGTACAGGGGTACCTAGTGACAGCGCTAGGATCCCGCTTCCTCTATCAAGGAATAAACAATTGAAATTGAAATTGAAATTGAGGGAGAGAGCATCGTGATCATGGCGGCCAAGCGTGAGAATGTAAACAAGACGTGAACTTTGGGTCTTTTGTTTGATAGAGAAACCAAGAGAAAAAATGAGGTTAGGTTAGGTTAGGTTAGGCTTCTTTGGCTGGGATGATAACTCAAAAACTAATGAATCACACCAAATACCTTGGGAAAACCTGCAATGTTACCAGATATTCAAACCAACTAAGATACACTGGTATGGTTATTATTAATGGAGAAGTCAATAGAACCTTAACATTTATTCTTACACAATACTTTCCTTTATTAAGTATGACTTGTTAAAACCTTGCCCAACCTTAAGACCTGCTCTCATTTACCTCTACTATACAGCATGTGATGTTAAGCATGAACTGAATAGGTTCCTCATCACTCACACTTTCCCTTCATTGATTAGTTTGATAAAACGCAGCTACAGTGGCAGGTACTTTTCCATACCCCGCATTTTTTTTTTAAGATCCTAGCTCTTATTTTGTCAACTACCCTGGTCTAACTAGCTGAAAATCTAACCTGGTCTTAAACAGCGCTGCAGGAGTATGTAAGAAGATAAGATCGAGTGACATACTTTTAAAGACGTTTTATGAATGCAGAGTGACAGTCAATGACCTACTGTACTTAAATTCAACTTTTAAGTGAAAAATTATTTGTGGCTGTAAATGAAGCAACTACAAACTAAATCAACATCAAGAAACACGACTTGAGTCTAAGACACCTGTATATCATTCTAGTAATTATTACAATAATCACTTTTTTTCCGGCGATACATATTTTAAATTATTCACCTGGTGATCGTAGCTCCCGAGGCAAAGTCGTAGCCACTTCCTCTCACATTGTCATGACAACATTTTAGAAGTAGTCATAGCTGCCACAGCCTAGTCACGGCAGCTATAGCCTCACCACGACCATAGCTGCCATATCCTAGCCACATCCATTGCTTGTACTTGATCGGAAGTCACAACCGAAGTCCAGCAGCAGAGAGGGAGGTCCCGGATATCCTGAAAATGAGTCGCACGTAACAATCTGAAGTAAATAGAGCCTTCACTTATAATCACAGTATTCGTCCTTATTTCTGGCGTCTCGTATTTAATTTAATATTTAATCACGTGTAGTCTAAGAACGGGATACAGCACCGTGTTTACAGCAGAGCAGATTACCGTTACAACCTCAAGTGATATTTAATCAACGTCACTATCTTTTCCCAATGCTGGGTGAATCTGGATGACTCCGTTGTGCTTTCTCATAATTTCCATTAATTTTTGTTGATCGTTATGGAATAAAATATCAATGGGATTACTCGGTACAAAATTCCCTGGCATGCCTGAAATAAAACTTGTGTACAAAAACAAATCATAGACCAATTTAACATACTCATAGCACAGTTTTTTATAAGGACTCAGGTTGTTCCGAATCCTTGTAGCAGTTGGGTCCAATATTTTCTTAGCTTATTACACATTACAAATTTTAAGTTATTTAGTAACCAAGCATGAAACAGGACCGAGCTCTGACAAAGTGGTGATAAAGTGCGCACTGATCCCAAATTTGCATTGTTATGTATTACATGGAATATTTAATTGAAAATCCCGAAGGAAACAATAAATATTAAATTAAAGCAAAATACGTCTTTATCCAGGCCAATGCTTATACTTCAGAAGGTTAACATATGACTGGCTCCCTCCCAGAGCATATGATAAAAACTCTTTACTGACACACTATGGCATTCATACAGATAAATTATATTGTCCAAATAGTGCGTAGGCAACACAAGGCCAGAAGCTAAACACAGTACAGAAATGACGTTTTTGTCGAGGTAAACAATGCCGGCGGTCGTGTAATGTCAATCACTGGGAAAGCTAAATAACCCAACAAGGACTTAGCATAGACACAGTAACGCAAGGAAGTACATGTTAAAGTGTATTACTGTACTAGTATTACATCTGTATCTTTAAATAAAAGTCTACAAAGAAATAATCAATCACAAAATACATCACCAAAGGATTTCCCCTCACCCTCCTCAACACCAATGCACCACCCCACCACCTGCGCGACCTGCCCCGAAAGATTTCTAAAAACAAGCATAAACCATAAGGTTAAAAACGTTCAACGAACATGATTAAAAAAACCCGCATATTTTCTTGGTAACAGGAAGGAACTAAACGCAGTTTGGCCCAACCATATTTATCTTGGGAAATCTAGCTCAGATTAAGAATGACTAGATGAGGTCCAGGTCGTTTAAAAATAAGTAGTAGTTTGAGGACGTGCTCATAACTTTAACCACCCTGCGACTAGAAGCTTCAGGGTAAACAAAGTAGTTCGTTGAGCTTGTTCGATGTTTCCAATCGTTTAATATCCACAATAGGCTCCCAGCAGGTTCAACCAAGTAAGTTACAGCGTAGCCAATATTAGCGAGTTAATTTAAACACATGGATAATGAGGTAAACTTCGATAGAGTTTGAATATAGTTAAATTCAAGTTAAATCGACAGCTGATCGGTCCAGACTAGTCAATCTAATTTATATTAAACAGGAAAAGATGGTAATTTTCCTTTGGACATGATCTCAAAACCTCTCCCTTTCACACACACACACACACACACACAATATTCTCATTTTAACGAGAGAGAAGGAAACAGCATATCATTGCATGATTTAAAATATTGAATGAAACGTAAGTATCTAAGGCTCAACAGACATCAGGAGTGCTGCAGGTGACCCATCTGGACAAAGAGAATATGGTGTAGCGGAAGCGCCTCAAAGAGACTCCTGGTATTGACTGTACTACCTGGTCAGTGTGTACCAGGACTACACAAGTACCTCAATTTTGCGGTAGCTGATGAAACAGAAGAGAAGAAGAAGATCAGGAAAGCGAAAAAAGAAGGAAATAGTCCTCTTTCAGTTCAACTCGAGGACGCGCGTCACTTGACCATACCATACCATAAACATAAGCAAGTCCACATACCACTGATCACTGTATGAGAGAAATGGAATCTTTTTCTTCATTTGCACAGAAAAATAAATGACACGACCTTTAAGTTAGCCTTTTAAGACATTCCCTTAGTGAATCGTCATTACCCAGGGTGCTAATGTTATCGTAAACACGACCTCTACCGCCTCGGGTAAGAGTCTCTCTGTGCCTCCCCTGATCATCTTGGTCAAATAGCATACACAATGGACTGGTGTGTATGTCAGATGTGTATATGTGTGTATAAATGCGATCAATGTCTTCCTAAGTTGATAAAAAGGAATATAGTTTATAGGAAGTGTTTGAGAACGAAAAAAATTCCACCACATCATTGCCCTGAAGGATAATCTCCCACTGAACAACATTTACCAAAGCAAATTCTTATTGAACACAATCCCACCATATAAGGTAAAATATCTCCCCAACCAGTTTTTTTTATCCCTGGTGCCCACTACGCTAGATCGGTTTACCTTAGGATATTATACTGTAGATCATGTACGTTACCTTAGCTGGACTAGGCTATGTTAGCTTCGGTGGTTAGGATAAATTGATTTAGTTTATGTAGGAATAGGTTAGTTTAGGCTAAGGTAGGTTAAGTTAGGCTTGGCCAGATTAGTTTACATTAGGTTAGGTTTGGTTATATTGTTTGATTTGCTTGAGTTTGACTTGCTTTAGGTAGATATAGTCGGTATGGTCTGATTTTTGAACCGATAAACACGATCGATATCTTGTGTACGTAAACAAATCCTCTTGATATATAGCTCAAGTGACGTCATAGGTAACCAATGCTCTTTCCGCGTCATCTTCCAGTCCCCGCCCACAGGATACGCCCATCTACGAGTTTATAAATGCACCTGTAGGACAAACATTACCACAGTCACCTGGTGTTAATTGTTGGCTGTGTATCAAGCATATAATATAGAACTCTCTTCACAATAGGTAAGTGTTTTAAAACGTAAGAATTCCGTCATTAAGTTCTTGGTATTTCACAAGATCTGATATTACTGCGTTCATGTTTACAGAAACTAATGCAAATTTCGTAAATACTCTGATTAAAATGGCCTGTTAAGTATTAATATTTGCGTATACAGTAATGTACCACCTTTAATAACTTTCTCAAAATAGTAGACCTACCCCAGTTGTGCCAAATATAGATACAGTTTAACTAATTTCATGTCTTACTGTAAATATGTAACTAGAGTGTGGATGATCGTCTTGATATTATACTGTATATCCTGACGGTTCTCTACTGTATTATCAAAATTAAGTTAACCTGCAAATTTAAAGTCACGAGTTTTAGATTATTTTTCATTTTTGTCAATTTTGTTTCCCCATGCAGTATTTTATTTCAGTAACTAAATTATAAACAATCATTGAATATGTTAGAGTTTTAATGTCGACAATGTCTTTTTTTTTACAGCGACTGACACACTCATGTTCCTCAAGTTACTCAACATAATGGTGTTAATTTTCCTATTGATGGTTCATGGTGCAACTGGTGACACTACCAATGCCCTCCCAGCACCAGCAGGTGTCCAACCCACTGACACCATGACCAGCCTCCTGCCGCAGCCTATGGTAATACTATGTTACACTGATTTAATGTGTCTAGGGGTAATAAATACACACACACAGGACCACAACTGCACAAACCCACGAAGTTTCAGAAGCAATATCCTCAAGTTACAATACTATCTGTACGTCTATTTTCTCCGTCGTGGTTGTGTTTATGAGTCAGATAACACCCCCTCATCCCCCTCTCTCCTCCAGGTTGAAACGGCGTCCTTGAGCCAGCTGCTGACGAAGGTGGTGAAGGAGAAGCTGCTAGAGTGTGACCTGGTGGTGGCCGTTGATGGTGGCGCCCCACACTCCTGGCAGGACGCCATGTACCACCTCCTGCAGCTTCCTAACCCTCGACAGGTTGGTGAAGCAATATTTAGTTTCCTTTGTTCGTCTTGGTCTCACTTGACCGAACATAATCTAACTTACGCTATCCTGACCTTAACTAACGATCATGGGTAGTTCTATGTTAGTTGTTAGGTTAGGTTAGGTTAGTTACATTTGGTTGATTGGTTATTTGGTTTGATTTTCACACTAGTTTCTTTTTTCAGTGATGATAAAGAAAAATGAAATCTCTTGAGAAATAATGTGACGAAGATCTATTTAGTACTTCTCAATTTCTTTTAGTTTTCAATTATTATTATTATTATTATTATTATTAGGACGCGACGGTAATGTCCAGGTGTCGTGGTTACCTGAAAGCTTCTACCAACAGGTGGTGCAGGTGAAAAGACCAGCAGACCTGCTGCTTGTAACGAGGTCATCCAGGTGTCGTGGTTACCTGTTGCTTCTACAGGACCCAGAGCCCCTCATCACCCTCGCCAAGGCAACCCCGCCCACCTGGGACTATGATGACAGGTGAACAATAATGGGGTGATAGTTACACACACACACACACACACACACACACACTACGTTCATTCATTGTCATTATTATTATTATTGTTATTGTTACAGGGTTGATGCTGTTATTAGGAGATTTATACTTTATTGAGTTCAAGAGTCACTTCCAGGATGGTTGTGGTGGGCGTGACGAAAGACCAGCTCAAGGAACTGACTCTCACTAAGGCAGGCAGGAAGATGGAGCACATTGTAGGCTTGGTCAAGGTGATGGTCATACAGTAGTAGATAATTGAGATAATTCTGATGCGTATAATAATAATAATAATACAATATTAATAATGATAATACTTGTAGTAATAGTATAATGATCATAATACAGTAATAATAAGGGACTCATTTGATCATCTAATTTCTTCATAACTACCTGGTACAAGGAATAATTAACTTGTATAGTACCTACTGTATATTTCCGTATTTCCGTTGTGTATGACCAGCTGTAACGTGCACTGTACTTCTCTCCCAGGCTGACAGGACGGGGGTGTGGTATGTGTTTATAAATCAGTTGTTCTCGGGCGAGCAGGTGGCGTACATCAACACTTGGCATCAATACGGGTTCACAGCTGATACTGACCTCTTCCCGGACAAAATAGTCGACTTTGGCGGCGCCCCATTAAGGGTATTTTTCACTGCGTCACTCAACAGTACACAAGATCGTAAATAGATAGATATGTTGCCGACTGCACCATTAAGTCGTAAGTAGTTGAAGTATTGAAGTATTACACCGTCTGCGTCCCCTTCAGATGGTGGCGTTTGAATTTCCTCCAAGTGTGTGTTATCGACGGGGTCCTGACGGCTCCATCGTCCACTTGTACGGCTGGGACGTGGAGGTGGTGAGGGCGCTGTCCATCTTTTTCAACTTCACCATGCAACATGTTGAACCTCCTTCAGGTAGGTGACGGAAGCCTCTGTATAACACTCAGGTATTCTGCTGCAGATGTAACTAGCTTCCATGGTGTATATATACCCCATATATTCTCGTGCATGTTAGAGGTTATGTGAATCTCAAAACATTTACTAAGATTCCTTGTTTTAACGTCGTTACTTGTTTCAGACGAGTTGTGGGGTGTTCGATTCCCCAACGGCAGCTGGAATGGTATGGTGGGTCTGTTTATGAACGGGTTGGCAGACATCGGCATCACCAATGTTTTCATCACCATTGACCGTATGGACTTTATGGACTTCAGCGCTCCTTTTGATACTGATGTAAGGGGTTTGGGCAAGTGTCACGTTTCTCCAGTATTTAAGGGAAATTCTTGTATCTAATTTATATGGAATATTTCGATGTTCATTATTTTTTTTTAATTTTATGAGATAATCCTATAGTCAAAGAGATTTTACTTCTATTAATTTAAGGAAATTTTTTCTTTATTCATCAAGGGGCTTTCACCTTTACTCACCCGATCAGTCAGGTCAGGAAGGTTGGACATTGGGTTGACTAAACACTGTAATGTATTCAGATAATGTGTACTTATTTTTGTAACTGATTTATTTTATTTTCCAGAGGAGTTGCTTCATTACCCGGGTGGAGCCGCCTCTACCCAGGTGGCTGTCCCTGGCCCTGCCCTACCAGATGGTGACCTGGATGGCTCTCCTTGGTGGCCTCCTCACCACCTCTCTCTTCCTCTATCTTCTGACCAGGGTTCTTCTTGACAGGTGTGTGTGTGTGTGAGATAACCAGCCTCCAGTCTACTCTATCAGTATGACCTGTACTCACTACAAAATTAACTGGGAATTGGAAAACCTCCAGACATTACAGCGGGTTGTACACCTCCGACATGCAATAAAGATTCTCTCAGGCCCAGTTACTTGTGCTTATCACTATTTAACGACTACATGACTCAATCACTCATTACAAAAGGTTTAGGAAACTGCATCTCTATTACCTGTGGTCCAATTTCATAAAGTGTTTGGAATTACATTATGAACTGGATCTTTCAACACAGAAACCTTGGCGAACTAGATACCTTCAAGACTCTGCCATACAGTGGACTCTACGTGTTGGGTATGCACTTCCGCGTGTCCCAGTCCCACACCCCCGTCCGGACGTCGACTCAGGTATTCGTGCTGTTCTTGTGGCTGTACGTGATCATCATCACCACAGGCTACAGCTCCAACCTGACGGCATTCCTCACTGTGACCCGAGAACCCACCGGGATGGAGACCCTGAGGGAACTCTACATATCGAAGCTGCCTGTCTTGAGTAATGGCAACTTTTTTAAGAGTGTCATGGTGAATACCAAGAATTTCTATGTCCAGGTGAGTCTCCGGGTATTTTTTATCTGCTTGTGTGTTGAGGTGAGCAGGGCGTGAAGCTGAGGTGTCGTGGGAATCTGGACGCCAGATATAGAGACTAGCAGAAGGACAAGAGTGTAGGAGGAAGAGGATGGAGAAGAAGAAAAAGGGAAGGATGGGAGAGAAGCGTTTGCTTTTATTTCTGTAGCACTTTCACAAGACGTTTGAGCTTAACAGTTTTGTGCATCAGGCAGCAAACTTTTTCAGTCCCTGCAAGATAACCTAATCGTGTTTGTAGCGTTGAGTTCTATTTACCTTCCGTCGTTCGTCACATTTATCATCCTTACTGAATGTGGATCTTATTATCTAGGATGGGAGCCTCGTCAGCAAGGCATCGTAACAACTAATGGTCACACCCAGACCAAACTTGACGTGTAGGTTTACTGATATCAGCATAAGCTCTCACGAGTAATAATCCTTAGTTGCAATGTTTATAGAATCTGTTTATCCATATGACAAATTGACCGCCCAAAGTAGTAGACATATTGTTACATGTTACTCTTGATGTTACAGGAGCTGGCCAAAAACTACAGGGCGGAGTATGACATGGACAAGACCCACAGCACCGTCCAGCAGGGGAAGGGTGTGAGCATCCAGGGACTAGCCTTTCAGGAGTATGTCATTGCCACCCGCTACACCACCCACGGCCGCCCCTCCATCAGGATCATGAAGGTGAGTGGTTCTGGTAGGTAGCAAGGGGTAGGGGGCGTAAGAGAGGATAGAAGGTAGTCATTCAGAGGCTAGGGAAACATGGTGGGCTAGGTGAAGCGAGAATTATATTGGGAGGACTCTCTCTCTCTCTCTCTCTCTCTCTCTCTCTCCCCAAATGAAACACACAGGGCCGTCTTAAGACAATGACAGAGTGTCTCCTCTCTCAACAGGAGTGCTTCTCTGACCACAGCATCGCCCTGGGCTTGGAGAAACAATCCGTTTTGGAGCGTAAGTTCAATATGGTTTTGAACTGGATAGTGGAGGCTGGGCTAGTGAGGCGATGGTTCCTGGATTCTCTCAACCTCGCTCTTGAGGTCAGTATGTCTCTCTCTTCACCATGAGGTTAGGAACTGAATAAAGAGGTGCCGCAACAGCATTACAAAACGGACGTGATGTTTGTTTACATTCTCCTAGATGGATGGCTGATCCCTCATGTACACAGTTGAACATTCGAGCTTAACGAAAATGAGTTGATAGGAGGCAAGAGGGGAGACCAAGAAGTAAATAGAAGGAAGGAGGGAAAACGTACTGAAAGAAATGTGGGGGAGGGGACGGTCAGGAAGCAGCAGTATGTATGAATGAGTGGAGATCATGACGTCGAAACATTCTGTGGGAAAGGACGTGTTGATGCTGGCTTGTGTGATGCTATAGAAGTAAGCCAGGTTTGGGGCCTTGTAGAGAAGTAACGGTGGATGAATATATTTTCATCTACTCTCGATTTCAATCACACACACACACACACACACACACACACACACACACACACACACACACTGTTTTATACATATCTCATTAAGTACAGTTTATACTTTGTGCCATTACAGTACGCGAGGCAAGATAAGAAGGCAAAAGGAAACAATGGAAACACTGAAGAGGAAGATGATGATGACGACATGATGGTCAGAGGGACTACAGCCAGAAGTATCCCCCTTGGTATTGACCACATGCAAGGAATCTTTTTCATCCTCGTGCTGTTATATAGTCTATCTATCCTGGTGTTCCTGCTAGAGTGGCTACTGGCTTGAACTCCTCCCACGAGATTAAAAGACTTAGAAAAACACAGATTACCAGATGTGTAGATGAAATTAGGAAGTTTAGAGATACCGGTACTACTTGACGGGCAGTGAAGCGGTGGAGAGGTAAAATTATGATGTATGTATGGTACTGTACGTGTACATGTAACGCTGTAATGTAATGTTAGTGTACTTCAGTAGGGGATATTAAGAGTAATTATGTACAGTACTCCGCATATATTAAAATAAACCAAAAGTAACATAATTAGAGAAAATACTAATATAGTTGATATACATTTACGTTATTCTGTAAAATCAGGTGTAACAAAAGTAATATAACAGTAATGTAATTCAGGAGATAAATTGCTTATCGTCAACAGTGTCAGTATATATAAATATTTTTCAATATACTATCACGTAGAGCTAGTGTAATATAAATCAGTAAAAAATATTATATTCTCCATAACAGTTATATACCACATTACAGTATATCAAAAGTAACACGAGTGTAAATCATTAGTACTAATAATCGTTTCTCCATCATATACTAATAATCAACTAGGAAATAGCTTATGTACAGTACTTATATTTAAATCAAATATCACCTGTAGTGTAACTCAGTCAAAGAATAATACATTTACCATTACCCCAAAATTTATATTAATTTTGTTTACTATAATTTAATGTATTTTAGTAGTAATAAAAATATGTTATAGTTCCCATACATAATACAGTACAGTATGTAATATGTGTACTGTAATTAGATATGCACTGCTTACCATTCATTTCCATGTAATAAGTGAATTAATTTAGATTGGCGGGTATATCAATAATAATGTGTTATCAATGTATCCAAAGACATTTTTTTTATCTTATATAGCGTCTGAAATAAATCGTATCTGAAGTTTCTCTATGTGAATTACATTGTGTGTTTCTTAAGCGTTTCCATAGTTTTAAAGAGAAGTGGGTGGCCTAAAGTCATTGAAAATCCTAGAAAAGTCATTTACAATTATCTTGACTATTTATAAGCTGCATTGTTGCATACTTCGTCATTTACATATTTCTCTCCAGGGTTCAACGCGTCTATATGACTTTAAAAAATAGTTGCTAGGGGAATTTACTCTACAATTATGTTTCATAATCATTATCAATCGGTCAAGATAACACGGTAACTCGGTCAAGATAACATGGAAAATCGGTCAAGGTAACAGGGTAACTCAGCTAATGTAATGTGTAAGTAATTTAATATAACAGCATATAGCATGGGATAGTCTATATCAAAAGTTTTAAGGTTATTTTACTAACTCGTGTATGATAAGCTCAGTGTGACCAAGTATGTTGAGTGGTAGCACCGCATTGTATTCATTAACATACATTAAACATATGGTAAATTAGAAAAATTATAATGTTGAGGAGACTATAGCCTTTATTAAAGGCAGGATATATCATAATAAATGGATGATCAAGTGTATTTTAAATGAAAAGTCATCCAAATATTTATCTGACTAATATGTAATATATATATATATATATATATATATATATATATATATATATATATATATATATATATATATATTGTAAAATAAAAAAAAACATGGCAAATTGTCATATCAAAATTACAAGACATTGATTCTAGATTCAAATTTTGGTATAATATGAATTTAACTTTTTCATATGTAATTTTTTTTTTTTTTACGGGAATTAGCCAATCCGGGCACAGGTCAAACGACCCACAACGGAGCCTGGGGGGCGAAAAAAAAGAACGGAAAGAAATTGAAAATAATGAATTAGTAGAAAAATAAAAAATGAAAAGTCAATAAAATTACGATCATAACACAGCTGATACGGCATTATTATAGAGAATATTTTGAAAACAATTGTTACCATTAATATGTAATATTTATGAAAGTTCTGTGATAATAAAATGTGGCTTTCTGATAATTACAATATGTAATTCAATATATGGACGTTTAAACTCGTTAAGTCTCATGAGCCCACAACACCTGACAATTTTAAAGTCATAAAAAAATTATAACATTTTGAATTACGAAGAGACATTTAGGTGACATTATGGTTCAGAAGGCATATATGATGAAGCAAACTTTTTTCTGAATGTCATTTGAAGAAATTTGTACCAAACTATGAACACGTAGGATTAGTTTGTCCAGATCCGTTTTATGATGATGTTGGAGAACCAGATGTATTTGAGTATTAAAATATTGACATTTTCGTTTCTGACGTTAAGTTGTGTATGTATTGTGGTGGAGGGGTGATAACGCGTAGCTGTGGCCATACCAACGTTTTGTAGGAGGCTTATGTAAACTCCCGTGTAATAAGTATAGGCCCCTTCACCATAGACAAGAGACTTTGGATAATTCAAGGTATCATTTTCCATCATGAACTGTGAGTAGATGTTGTTTGCTATTATCTCCCTCTTTTTTGCATAAATTTTGTTTATTTTTTTTATTTTACACGTGATTTTATACACTGTGTTGTTCTGTACATAAGCTTAGCGAAACTATTATTTTTCTGGTTTAGGTGACGTATTAGATTGTGACATTTACATTTACAACAAGCCTAGCCCAAAACCTGCTCCTGCGCATGAACCAGTTAACATACCAAGTCCTCGCTCCTCCCACAGTTATTGTTATAAATACCCTGACGGAGGCGCAACTGACCACATTCTTGATGAGCTGGTAAGTGTTTTGCTAGAAGTTTATTCAGTCACGTAAAACATACTTGAGTTAGTTTTAGAATGAAGAACATTGACGGTTAGGTAAAGTTTATTTTCTGCTCCGATCACCGTGTGTGTGTGTGTGTGTGTGTGTGTGTTCATTGTCTAATTATTTTCTCTCCTATTAAACAGCCAGAATGAGGACTCTAGTGGTGGTGCTGTTGGTGATGATGACTGGTCACTACGCCTCTGGGGACACTAACCTGCCGCCCACACCCCGCCCACAACCCACTGCCCTCTCTCTCCTGCCCCGCCCACAGGTACGTATCCGTGGATTCTTAAGTTGTTGCGTTAAAGTGAGTATCATCTGCCGCTCATTGACATACGATATAATGTATACAGCCTTACTCAATTAGGGTCAGTCTGATTTTTATGGAGTATAATTTAATTTAAATTTTTTCGCCCACCATTCCAACCAAAGGGATGAATCGGAAAATCTGTCCTTGGTAATAATCAATTAATACCGATACGTATGAAAAACGAAAATAAAACATTTTCTCGAGCTATATTTTAAAATTAGATCCAAGTGCCAATTTTTCAGTTTGGGATTTCTTTTTCTTTTTTCTTTCTTTTTTGGACAACTCGTACGGGAATTCACTGGAGTCTATACTAACAGTTTACAGATACAGTATTTGCCAACTGTGTAGCCACCCGAGTGACTAACAAGCTGATCAGTGACGAAGAGAATAAAGATATTTACTTCACAAAACAAGAAACTTAGGATAACCTGAAGATTAACCTCAGCATATTATAATAAAAATAATAATATATATTCAGTAAAATCATCATACATGGTTACAAATCAATAGTTTCTGAGATAAGTCCTCCCCAATCTCAGAATCTAACCAGAAATTACATTGAAGAATGGGGTCTTAGAACTAACAAAAAATACTGATTGAATCTATAAAATTACCGAAATTCGTTTAGAAGCAACAAGTAAAATACTGTAATACCGCACAGCGAACCCCATTTTATTTTTTTTTAAATCTGATCAATATCATGGGCATTTTGAGGCCATTTTAAAGCCATGTACGCTTGACATTAGGAGATATTCTGAGGTTAATGGTAATTACTTTTTACTATACGAAAACGTCTGAGTACAATACTGCATTAACGAAAAAGTATTGAAAATTTTCTAATGAAAAGAGGGGTCCGGATCCCCCTGGATCCGTCCCTGCTTTTCTTGGCCAATGAATCCTGTAGCCACATGTAATATTTTCTGGAACCCCCCAATCATCTTTGATCCATTCTCTTTCTCATCTCAAGCAAAATGACGACATAATTACAACCAAGTAAAAACCATTTCAGAGTTGGTAATTACTGACGTCACACCAGTCGTTAATTTTCATAGAAAACGAATTTAAAAACTCTGCAATTTCATTGTGTTTTGCAGTGACCACTGTTGTAGTTTAGACAAATATGTTAAAAAGTGGTTATTTCTAAATTAAAGCTAATCTAACCTTAGTTGATAAAAAACAGAGGCGGCCTAAGTGTTGTTAGAAGACCGCACCAACCTAACCTAACCAAATATCTTGTAGACCGCACGCTTTATCCCCAGCAAAATGAGGCAGCATCCTTGAGCCAGCTGCTGACGACAGTGGTCAGGGAGGATCTGAGGGACTGTGACCTGGTGTTTGTTGCTGATGGAAGCCTCCAGTGGCAGGAACCTCTCCACCAACTCCTCAAACTCCCCAATCCCAGACAGGTTATTATTCTTGTTTGTTTCAAGTTCTCCATTACATTTTTGAGTACTGTACAGGTGTACATGTACAGTATATTGTCTTTTGTGTATTTCTTTTTCTTTTTCTTGCAAATATTTGACCGTAAATTGTCTCTGGCTGGACCTCTAAAGAGTTCCCCAGTGTCCTGTAACCCCCAGTCAAATTTCATCCCAATAATGGGTAATGTATAGCTACATAATACAGGTATTCTCATACAAGTTTGTGACAACATGAGTAAGCCTGTGCAGGTCTTGCTTTAGCCAACAGTGAATAACAGAGAATGGACCGTCTGACTTATAAATCAACAAGTGATGAAGATGATAAATTAAAAATAAAGTAAAGAGATGTATTAAATGGAAGTGTCAAATATAATTGTTCAGTTATTCTGTTCAGTACAGGCATAGGTTGGGGCATAAATAATTACAATGCCATAAAAATGAATACAGGTGCATGTTATGAGCAGTTATACAAGGTGTTAGAATGTAAAGTCAGAAGCAATGTTGAGTTGAGGTACAATGTACAGTACGTGCAATATCTTACAGGTCGTACACGTCACAGATTCTGAAGACTTTGAACGGGTGGGTATACTGTCATCAAGTTGTCAAGGAAGGGTTTTCCTGGTAGATGATCCAGCTCTTCTTCTCACTTATGCCAACAAGAGAGAATCTTCCTGGGATTATTCTGGCAGGTGAGGCACAAAGGGGGTTTTAGGTCTTCATTATTAGTGGGTACAATATTTATCATGGCCTGAAACTTATCTTAGTGGTGTTAACCTGTCAGCTTTAATTACTGTACAGGGAACCTTGACTACAGTTGTGTGTGGGGGGGAGGGGGGGGAAGACGGCCACTAGTAACTACGACCTTGTGTCTAGAATGGCTTAAGGCAATTGAGTCCCATTGAGTAATGTGAGGAGGTCTACTGGGGTATGTGATGCACTTTATGAAAGCTTCCTATTCTTGGCAAGCAATTTTAAAACTGACCTGAAAATCTTTTACTAATATGATGCAGGTTACATTCCAGTGTAAAACATCATACAAGTACTGTATTTTATGCTGCATTTTGCAGGTGAGGTCTTTTTGGCTTATATGCAGTTTGATAACATAAAACCCAGTTTTGTGTGATTTGCAAAAATTACTCTGTAACGATCAAGCCATTTGTGGGAATACTGTACTGAGCATGGAAGTGAATGATGTCAATATGTAGTGTTGACACTTGGGTCATACACAGAACAGCTATATTTGGGTAAGTTAATTCATCAGACACTACTGAATATACAGTTTGAAATTTACATTAAGACCCAGTGAAATATAGACCAGATATTTTCATTCCATGATCTAAACATTTATTACAATGTTGTGGGTCAATGGGTCAGTCTTAAGCCTCGGCCTAACCTCAGGCTTTCAATTGGCTGAGCCATGTCAATATTGTTATTATTATCCATTATCTTTTTTTCTGATTAAATAAACTGTTTCAATATCAATAATTTAAGCAATTGGGGACGAGGCCCTTTAAGACATATTAGGACTGGGTGGTCCCCGACCCTAATGTCAAAGGCTGGAGACTGAGGCTTGTTTGATCAGTCACCTTTTATGGGAACAAATAATTAAAACCATTTTTCTTGTACTAATTTCTAAATCTTGTTCATAATTCCTGCTGTTTATGGAAACTTCAGGCAGGTGGTGGTGGGTTTGACCAAGGAGCAGCTGAAGGACTTAACACTAACCAAGAGTGGTAGAAAAACGCAGCATATTGTGGGAGTGGTCAAGGTGAGTGTGGGAGTGGTCAAGGAGGGTGTGGGAGTGGTCAAGCTGAGTGTGGGAGTGGTCAAGGGGGGTTAGCGGCAAAGAAAAACGACTTGAAAAAAGATTCATTGGGTAAATTACACTGACAAGAGTCTGGTAAGGAGGCAACGTCATGTGGGTTCATGGCTCATAGGTCAATGAAGATGTGTGAAGTAATTAGGGTGAGAATTGGTATATTATGCTGTCAAAGTCTTCCGTGAAGGATTCATACTCGTATACTGGTACTTTAATTATTTCACGTAGATTCAATAAAAGCATATGAAACAAATGGCAGGTAGATTTCTTGGCGGATTACGATATTTTGGATATTAAAAAAAAATCTTTGAATATTTGTTGTAAAGTGCCTCTCCTGATACAAATATGTACCCAGTAGATATAAATTTTCTGGCTAACATTTTTTTTCCAGTCTGGGCTTCTAGGAACTTTATGGCAGGTGTATAGGAACCAACTATACACTGGTGAAGAAGTGATCAATGTTGGCACCTGGCAGCAAAATAGGTTCACCAGAAAACGGGACCTTTTCCCAGACAAACTAGCTAATCTCCATGGTGCTGTTTTAAAGGTATGTAATTGTGTTAGCTACCTTTTAAGTAAATGACATGCACGTAGTTTCCTTTCGATACTAGGAAGGTTTTGGTTTTGGTTTAGGGAGAGAGAAGCCTTCAAATAATTACTGTATACGACGACTACAGTACATATTTTAGTGTAATAGCACTTGAATACACATTTTTTGACAAATAGTAAACAAAAAAGCAAATGTGGGAATCTAAATAACTGGATATTGTACCGGTTTTCTCTCATGGACTAAGGTTGGTTTTATGAACTTATAAATAGTGAAAAATGTACTGATGCAAAAATTTCATATGTAAGAGTACCAGCATAATCTACCAATTTCTCCACACTTTAAACACTAATTACTTCTCCACAGGTTGCACTTTTCCATTACATTCCAGCCGTATTCATTGAACGGACAGGTAATGACTCTATAGTGCATCATTATGGTCGAGACGTGGATATTATCAAGGTGTTGTCCAGCATCCTCAACTTTACAATAGAAATCCTAGCAGTTCCTTCAGGTAAGTTTAATTCTTACTTGTATCGCTTTTTTATGTTCTGGACGAAGGCATCAGAACACAAATTCTTTTGCAGATGACACTAAACTGCACAAAAGTTCTGAAGCCCTTGGCCAATCAGGTGCCTCAATTGGTCATCAACCTATTACAAGTGCGTTTTGAGTCCATAGCTCAGTGGGTCACAAAGAACCACATTACATTCATTGACACCAAGACACAAACTCTTACCATTTCTCACAAGCAAGATCATTTCTAGCCTCCACTTTTATTCAGTAACCACCATTATACCACCTATCAATCTTTATTCTTACTGTAATTAAAAAAAACTCGCATGGAATCACCCAACTCCCTAAAATTATAAAAAATGCATCTAAAATATATGTCCTTATTTTGGGTTTGTTTCAGTTGTTTTTAGTCAAATTCTCTACCCTTTACATCTATCCTCGTGTGCTGCTGTCATGTGTGGGATGATACTCAAGCTAATGCTATTCATCTTATTACTGATCAACCCCTTAACTCATCCTTACCTCCTCTTCATGTTAGACAAACCATTCCTTCACTTTTCCTTTAATACTAATATTTTCATCTTCATTGCTAGATCCAACATACCCTGTAAATCATCTGTTTTCGCGTCACTTTTTTTTTAATATAAAGTTTGCTACCCTCTCATAATCATCTTAACATCCATGTACTACATTGAATGACTCTTTGAATGTAAGGCACCCCAGTAGTTCCACCTATTCTTAAGTATCTAAATTATACGGTACGTTGTGTACTATTGCTCCAAAAAGTATCTTTATGGAGGGTCCGAGGATTTTCAAAATGAACACCGTGATTACTGATGTCTCGGTAGTGTTATTAAAGTCCTTCACCCATTGTCATATTGTCTCATACAAAATCGTTAAGATACTTTTTGGAGCGAGTGTACGTGTGCTAGGTACAGTAAGCTTAAACTTGATTATAGGTCATTTATCATTTACTGTACTATATTGTACTGTAACGTGTATTTACCTTAGTCCAGCAGAGAGAGTTCAACAATCAAATAATGAATCTGATATTGAGTAAGACTTTGTAATCTGTTTCTGATTGTTTCTGAGAAATGATGTTAAATTCGCCATTTTTTTAATATTCAGAGCTGTAAGTCCGAAGTGGAATAATCCTGAACATCGGGTTACTTTTAAGTAACCCAACAAATATATTTTACTAAGCTCCTATTCAAGTTTGATGAATTCATTTGTCGGATAACATAAAACTAACACGATGTATGGGATTCCTCTTCGGACTTACTGCCCTGAATGCTTAAAAAAAATGGGCTATTATCATCTGTATGTGTTGGTGTTTTGCAGATGAACTGTGGGGTGAGAGGCTGGACAATGGCTCCTATAATGGAATGATTGGCTTCCTCGGCAGAGATGAAGCTGACATGGGTTCTGGCAACTTATACATGTCATCTCATCTGGGCCGCCTGAACCACATGACCTATACTACCTCTACCTTCACTGATGTTAGAAAAGATTTTATGCTCATCCATACACACCGACCTTATGATATGCATCAGTGTACCTATGTTGTGAACCCTGTTGTCTCTGTTAAGTGTTTTTGTTTTGTCACTGATGCTGATGATGATAATATTGTAATGCAATTCTCCGTTAGCCAGAACAATTGGTGCAGAACACTACCGAGAATGAGAGATTTTTGGGTAACGAGTCGACTCTCAAACCCAGAAAAAACCTCATCCCGGAAATTTTTCTGGGTACTGGGAAGAAGTTCTCGAAATTTTCTGGAAATTGCGCTCTATGTCATCTCTCAGACCCGGAAAAAATCCTCCATCCCCGGAATTTTCTCTCAAATTTCCAGAATGGTGCATTATGTCATCCCAAACCATGAAAAATCCCCCATCTCTGGAATTTTTCCAGGTACCAGGAAAATTTTCTTGGAATTTCTGGAAAATTCACCTGATTTTCACCTCTCAAATCATAAAAAAAACAGTACTTTTTCGCACTTAATTTTTTTTCCTGGTTTTATTTACAGTATAATATATATATATATATATATATATATATATATATATATATATATATATATATATATATATATATATATATAATGTTCATTATTAATAACCAATTATTATGTGCACTGTAGTGTACTGTACTTTACACTCCGGTGATTTTGGACTGTTGTCATTGAACTACATGTACTGTACAAATACATGCATCAACCACTTAACTGGAAAAGATTATTCTTTAAGAAGTTTTCTTTATATTTTGCAATTATTCATTTACAATTTTAGAGTAACTTATAAATACACAGTATATTGTTCTACAGCATAGCGATTTTTTTTCCTTCAGTCATCATGCTTCATGTCATGGGTGGAGCCACCACTACCCCGATGGCAATCACTGGCACTTCCCTACCAACTTGAAACCTGGCTGGCACTTTTAGGGGAACTACTTCTCTGTTCCCCTTTCCTCTATATTCTGGCCAAAACCACCAGTATGAGGTAAGCGACAATGTTCTGTTCTCAGGGTGCGTGCAGAACTAATCATTACTGGAAGTGGTGACCAAAAAATGTAATTTGTTTAATTTACCGAATGTTTGTCTAATTTTTCGCAAATACTATTTATTGTATCAATAATTATTATTATTATTAATATATATATATATATATATATATATATATATATATATATATATATATATATATATATATATATATATATATATATATATATATATTTCGTGATATCCCTCCTTGCTACCTACAACATTGAGGAAAGACAAAGTTGATAAGTTAAAATAACGAGTGAATAATCTAGGGGTTGAAATACGTGGATGCAACAAGTAACGAGCACTCACACAAAAATCACTGTTATCGTTACAAATAAATTTAAGTTACGAAAGGGAGAAGATTATTAAATAAACTGGGTCATTTAATAACATTCATATTATTAAATATTGATTAATATACTGTAGGTAATTAGGAACATTACACAAGCGAAACATAAATATGCAATTATCAAAACACACCAGAATATTACCCGATTATTATTCTTACTTTAAATATTAAATACACATACTATATACAATATAAAAACCTGATAGAAATGGCACCTCAGGTAGCATGTTTAGGATGCGATGGCCAACCATAAGGAACCAGGGATTACAGCCGTAGTCCACTCCCATCAAACCATCACGAGCAGTAGTCCTAAATACAGATCTTCACCCACACCCCGGGAGAAGAAGTACACAGTACGCCGCATAGAAGAGACTGAGCTTACCAGGCAGACACACTTGCCACGATACCTCGGTTTCATCGTCGGATAGAAAACTGGTTCTGATCGGTGCTCACTGGGGGTCGAGTAGCTTCGTGAAGCAGTTTCTTCTGGTGTCAAGTTGGAGCAAGTGATGTAGAAGGGGAATCACAATATATATATATATATATATATATATATATATATATATATATATATATATATATATATATATATATATATATATTATTTTTATTCGATATTTGGATTATTACTTACTCAAATGACTCACCACTTACGGTTTTTCAAGGTCACGTTTTGGTGTTTGTGTGTTATTCTGTATGCAGTTAAGTTGTTAGATACTAAATTTGAAAAAAAAAGTCGATAAGATGAAGGCCTAAAATCTTTTTCTCTCAGAATCGGAATTAGAGTAAAATAAGGAGTTTTGATTGTGAGAAACAAGTGTGGTATAGCAAGGAAAGGTGTTTGGGATACTTGTATATAATTGAAAGTAAAAGAAAATGAGGAATGAGTGAATAAATATAAAGAGAAACAGAAGTGGATTAGATTTTGGAAATATGAAAGAAGTAAACAAGGTGATGGAGAGGAAGTTATTGTTATTTTTTATTGTTTGCAGGGGAGAAGAAGAACTTTCAAACTTCCAGTCAGTGACATACAGTAGCCTTTATGTCTTTGGCATGCACTTTCGCCAGCCACAGGGACAGTTACCCATTCGTATTAACACACAGATCTTTTTGGCATTTTTGTGGTTGTACGCCATCATTATCACCACAGGCTACAGCTGCAATCTTACAGCTTTCCTCACGGTGACGAGAGACCCACCAAGAATTGAGACAATCAAGGAGCTTCACGAATCAAAACTACCTGTGTTTGGTCTTGGGGATTATTTCAAGCTTTCAATGCTCCAGTCAGTGAATAAACATGTCAGGGTAAGTACAGTATACTATATTTACAAGTTTTGGGTGAATTTTTTGACAATTTTGATTCAAGAAAGAGGTTAATAGATATTAAAGGCAAGAGAGAAACAATGGTGATTGGATGCAAAACATGAATGGTGTGTTGGTGGTACAGCAGTAACGTAAGCAGCTTTATCTCTCATCAGTATGCCAAGGGTTTGAATCCTGCTTGGCCCTGACACATGTGAGAAGGGTGTTATCCAGTATAACCCTACCAAACACCACAGGTTTCCCGGACCTCGGTTTCCTCTTGTACTAACACTGGAAGCAGTTTTTATGGATATGTTAGCACCCTTGACGTCTGTGTTTATGATTTAGTTCCTTCCAGAAAAATTTAAATCATTTTAGAAGTGATGATACTCCAACATTACCTGATGTATTACACAAGGCCTGTTAAACAGGCCAACTTACTACTAGTGATACTGTAGTAGATAATATGTAAAAGAATGACGCAAGATATTTACTTTAAGTTTTTTAAGTTATTGTTCAGTAGAGCAGGTTCTGACTAGAACCTTAGTTTGGCTTTCAAGGCCAACAGGAGATAAAAAATGGTAATAAATCTCATCAAATAAAACATAAATGGTGATTGATGTGCTGTTGTCAGATAAACCACTTGTGTGTGGGGTCCTCTCTGTGTTGAATATAATCATCTGGCATTAGCCACATAAAATATCAAAAGTGGCATCCCTGTAGTGAATAAATTAACATGTTTCATTGGTTCAGTATAGTGAGGTTTGAAAAGTAGAAATCACCTGGGTTTTTTATATAAATTGAAAATCATATCTTAGAATAGGGGTAAAAAGGCAAAACTTTGTCAGTTGAATTTGTGTTTTGCAGGGTCTTGCTGATAAATACGTAGCAGTCTTTGATGTTTCCACGATTGATAGAAACATCTTGCATGGTAAGGGTGTTGGTATCCAGGGTTACAGCTATATGAAGTACGTTATAAAAAAGGACTACACATCAGCCAGTGGTCGTGCCAGAATGAGGATCTTAAAGGTAAGAATTTTTAAGGTAGACAATGAGAGCTTTAGACATAAACCTAGAAACTTGATGTACAATTGGTCAGTAGCGTGTGTATGTATTGTGCTCGTGATCACACCCACAAAACCTCTGTGAGAGCTTATACTATCAGTGATCTTTAAAATTTTGACTTACACTACTGAGTGTTTGTTTTGATTTATTTATCTTTAAAACCCAGCATCAGAATGTGTGTCAGCAAGTATATCACCTTGTTCACATTATTGACCTTTGAGTTAAAGTAATCTACGTCAGGCATGGTGGTAGATTGGGTCAGTCATCAGAGAACTGGACAGTGAGACCCACAGTACTACCACTGACCTATCTTAAGGGGTTCAGAGCTGGTGCAATACTGTTGTTGAGCTTGTTTATGTGTGTCTAATGTTAATACAGTACTGTGTCAATGAGACCACAAATCACAAGTGCCATGTCACCTAGTATTAACATATACTGTATGTACACAAGTACAATGAACTGGTGCACTGGAGGCAGTACCTCCCTCCGATAAGCTTACTTGGTATTATCTACCAGTCCTTTGATTACGCAAATACTAAATTGGCATTTTTGGCAGGAATGTTTTGCATCTCACGCTATTACCGTGGGTCTTCAGAGACACTCACCACTCAAGAGGAAGTTTGACAAAGTCATCCGCTGGATGGTGGAAGGTGGCCTTATTGATCAATGGTTTTTAGAATCAGTTGATCTTTCCATACAGGTGAGTAGTCACACATGTTATTGCAGGATCTTGTTACTTTACTAATTTGGACTTGACCATTGAAGTAAAGTTCTGCAGCAGCTGTGTAAATACAGCACACTCAAATCCTGCTCTGATGGTTGTCGGTTTTTGCCTGGGGCATTCCCATTTCACCCAGCTGCAAGTTGATACATATATCTAACTTTACAGCAGACACTGAAGGTGGTCAAAGTGCAATGTTGGCCACTCTGCCTCTTTTTGTAGTGAGAAGACTTAGACTACCATATATTATTTCTGTATATACTCTGCCCCAAACACTTACGGGCCTCTTTCACTTTCAATAAAATAAGCCAAAAGCTTATTACGTACCGTATTAGTATAGTGATTGGGAAGGAACAGAATAACAGTACATTCAATGAAATATGCATCAGTATAAGAGACAAAATGTAAGCAAGTAAAGGCTAACATTTTGATGTTACAATACAGTACTATATTAATAATAAAGGTGATCTGCATGATATTTTCCAAAGGTTTAGTGATAGTTTGACTCACTGGGAAGGGGAAAAATGGGGATGAGGTGGCATGTTCCCAATGTTACATGTAATGAAACTAAAAATTTTGGAAAAACATTGCAATACTCTATTGTGACTTAGAAATAAAGAAAATCTAATATAAAACTATAAAATAAGAAAAGGATGAACGTACGTGTGGAGGCAGTGAGGTCGCCAACTAGCCACGCTCCCTCCTCTTGATGCAGTGTCCCGGCATACGCACACACTCTCATGTCTCATAGCCAACTGGTTGACTGCCCAGCTAAACTGTGTCGAATCCAGAGTATGGTTTGAGTGTAGGAGCTGTATTTTGTAGATAAAATATGTTTTATTGTATTTTATGATATGAATTAATTCTATTGTTTATCATAACATTTTTTATTATTATTTTTGACGTATGCAATTTTACATTTGTTTACCTTTTGTTCACTAAAAAAATTTAACTCCGAACTACATCGTTTATATAAAAGTTTGGTGTTAATAAATTAATTATTTATCTTCAAAACCATTTATAACAAACTTGTTTATTAAATTATTATTACTAGGGAGTAGGGAGTACAGTACTATAGTCAGAGTTTACCACCCTGCCATTTCAACCTGTTGTTTGCCCTCAGTGCTTTGCTGTTTATCCCTCGTGTACCGATGATTTTGCTTAACGTTAGGTTTTCAAGAACGCAACCCCATCATTAAATGAAGGATACCAGTACCCAAAATTACTTCCAATTTTCTTTTTTACATTGTAAGTCCTCAAAGCCCAGAAAAAAATCAAACGGACCACTGCATTCATCAGCTTGATGATAAGCACAAGTTTCCCCCAGGTCACACAGTCACAGGTGACAAGGTGAGCCTCTAGCCACCATCCTCATTGTTATCCACTGAACTGAACCATTACAGTACAGTGTGTGTGGACACACTCTGCTTCTCCGTAATTTTTAACCATGTGCAACAGTCACCAGTTCCCATCAACACCTCAAGATGCCTAAGCATCCTTCAAGTACTACCACTTGAAGCGCCAAGAAGTCTCACAAAACTTTCTCCATGCGGACTGAGTTTGAGATGTGTGGCATGATGGTCTGGCGGTGGTCTCTTTTGAGTAAAGTAATGTCTTATAGAAATTTACATACTGTAAAATTGTTTTTTGCTGTTTTCGTTTTACTTTCATTCAATATCTCTACATTCCATTACCCCCGTGTGTATAGCTCAAGATACTGTATAAAGAAAATAAAGTTAGCAATTTCCAGAGTTTTTAACACAAATTTACTGATGTGATTAACGTTGATGGATTCTAGCTTGGGTAATAGGAAAAATGAGTACGGTAAACAGAAAGTTTTTAGGAAACTGTATTAACTAGGATGTTTGTTGTGCCTCCTGCATTTTACTATTGCAGATTGAAAAAAGAAAAAAGAAGGCTCAAGGAATTGGAGATAGTAAAGCTGAAGACATGAGCACTGCTGGGAGTGAGGGGGTGATTCCTCTTGGCCTGGACCACATGCAGGGAATCTTTCTGATCCTAATTATTTGCTGTATAATCTCTATCTTAGTGTTTATGGCTGAGTTTATGTTGGTAGAAAGAAATAGATCTTAAATAAGTTTATTTGGGCTTGATTGAAGATTAATTTAGCTTTAAAAAAGTCAGCAATATTATTAACTCCAGTGGTTGATTTCCTTAGAATAAAGATGCAAGGGGCAAAACGGAGCAGAAGAAATTAGTAAAAATATCTATGTAGTGAATGAGTTTCAAACAGTCCTAAGTAAATTCATGCTTGCTTTGCTTTTGCGGAGTCTTCTCTTGAAAACTGCAATGTGATAATTTTATTTTGCCTTATATGTTTGTAGGACTGTTTGGGTAACTAACTAGTCACAGCAAGAGGGTTAATATTCCAGTTAATGTATAGAATTACTGGTTTATTTGCACAGTAGCCACCAAACCTAATCCCAAAGTGGTAATTATTATGATATTATGACAAAATCCATCTCAGCAATCAAGGCCAGAGCTGCAGCCCATATTTCAGTGCGTAGATTACAATTTAACCTATTTAGACATACATTCTTGGGTAGTTGTAATTTTTTTTTTAAGGTTCTATCTGAATGTTAGTAATTGATGGAGAGTCTTCTTTAGTTCTTGATTCCAGCCACCCTATTTATTAAGAAATACAATATGCTTAACTGATTAGTGATTAGTATCTAAAAATTGAGTCATAAGATTGTTTGAAAAGATAAGTTGTATTTCATGACACTTGTATACTTGTACTGTATATGGAACAAGGAAATCAGTGAATGCTACTTGTAACTCTTTATAAGCTTTGTGTATTTTCATCACTAATATTTGTAGCAGGATGGCATATACTGTACAGTAACTATAATTGGTACTTTTACCATTTATTTTTATCCTGTATGTAATTGTAGTAACTAATACTAAAAAAAATACCACATCTTAGCTAATGTTTCTCATGTTCATCAAAATGTTAAAACAGAAAGTGTCTAAGATTTAAGTATTTTTCTTCATCCAATATCCCTGCCACGATACAGTACACGTGAGATAGAGACCACATGTTGAAGAAGATTTTACACTTGCAGAAGACATATGGGTGCTGAAAACAGACATACAGATTATACAATACATTGCCTGGTCATCCTTTGCTTGTTATAAGTGATGACGGTAACAAAAGCCACTAAAAGAACGGAGCTCCTGCTGAACACTGAGGATCTTGCATGTAGTACAGGTATGATGTATGCTTGCTGTAATATTATGTAGAAGTCTATTGGGCTTGTTAGTATGGCAATATATGATGCATAGATGCTGTGTCCTTTGCTGTAGGTGAAAAGAAATTGTCATATACAATTGAATGTGTCCTATTGTTCTCATTTCTGCTTATAGCTACTTAAATCACCAGATAGTTTACCAAATTGAAATTCCACTCCAATATTAAAACAAGCTACAGTACTGTAAAGTTGGAAAGGGGTATTAAATTTGACCGACTTACCTATTTGGTTTATTAAAAAAGCAATAACATGACAAATTAGTGCAATATAAAAAAATTAACAGTGCAATAAAAAAAATCAATTCTATTTAACATTGCTTACTACCATAACTATCAATACTCAATCATTCAATCAGTAACCAACAGCACCATGAATGAATGTAAGATAAGCAATCACTAATTAAGGCACATTTCATGCTACACAACCAGATCAAGATAATTATTGTCCTCTTCTGTGCTCATAAAATTATATATTGATGGCTATTACAACAACTACATTTCATTGATTTATTCACCTAACTATATACATAACTGTTTCACTACCTACGGAAAGATTGAGATGTTGGACGTCCTTTAGCTGTTGCAGGTAGTGAGAACATAGATCATACAAAACAGTGGTGCAACACTAGAAGAACATTGAATTATTGTACTGTCATCTAAATCACATGTACATACCAGTACGTATTACATAAAAACTTCAGGTATGGCCAACATTCATGCAACACTATTCTATCACAATATTTCCTCAAAGTTTTTTATAACCTTCTAATGAAACTATTCTGAAACAAATGGTACAAAAATGCAGTGTTACACAATATAGAAAACAAACTCAAGGTAGACCGGTCAGAGGTGTTAGTGTATTTCAACTTATAATAAGTAGACTACATCAAGGTGAGGTGATGATAATCTGAAAGATAAGGTCCTGATACAAGTATTGTTTTAAAAGTCAGGATTAACACTGACCATGAACTCAAGTGTCCTTAAGTTAACTTCATCAAAATCTCTCTGTAAATCGGTTAGAGGGTTGGTTAAACAGCCTAAATCTATTGAAATTTTAGTCCTAATGCCAATAGTACAAGTATTTGGGTTAAGTTTGAACCTATTAGGTCAGGCCTTGAGCCAATTGACTGACAACCTCTCTCCTACAATCATGATAAGAAATGCTTACAAAATATCAAAGACCAATATAGAAATAAGAACCTGTGAATATTCAAAACATCTTTCACTTATACCTACACAGTGTTGACTCATTTTATGGTGATCAATCTGTACAATATTTAATCTGACAATATTTACCAGCTGAATTTACAATATTATTAAAAATTTATGAATATTCACAAAATCCAGCTAAATTTAACATTTACAAACACATTACAAACCTTGGGGTTGTTCTTCATTTGCATAGAGCAAAATTTTTTTTGCTAACAAGATTGAAAGAATGCAAGACAAACTTACTGAGCCAAAGCTTCATAACAATGATGTACTGTAATGGATATTAATATATTTAGTACAAAACATATATCAAATAGATCTTAACAACAAAACACTGATAACATAATGTTCATGGCAACTTTTCACACTGATTCTACCCAAAGAAGTAAATTTCAATGACACTAGAATGTACTTGTACTTACCACAAAAATTCTCGATTTAACGAACTAATTTGAGCCACCCCTTTCCGTTAAATCAAAATTTCCGCTAAATCGAGCACGATTCCATTAAATTAGGCGCCAAATGCGCCGCTTAGCACGTGGGGTTTGTTTACATCCGCTCAGTCTGTGTCCTGCCGCCACCGCATGTGTTGTTCACTGCTACCTCTCAGCCTGCACCTCGTTCAACTAACTACTGTACTGTGCTTAGACATCATGCCAAAAGTCTCTCAGAAAGGAAGTGGTGTGGGGAAGAAAGTCAAAAGAGTGCGGCTATCAATTGGAAAAAGTTAGGGAAAAACAAACACCGAACCCCCTAGTTTAAGGTAAGCCATGAATAATGTTTCTACGTACATATCAGGTGTCTGTAGGTGTGAGCGTATTAACGGAATTAATCTCAATTTAGCGAACTAGTTCACTAAATTGAGTAAAAAATAACAGAAAAATTCCTCCCGCTAAATAGAGAGTTCGTTATATCGTATTCTGTTAAATCAAGAGTATACTGTACCAGATAAATAGATGAACATCACAACAAAATATATGTTAACTCAGTTAGAAAAATGGCAGAATAATGAATAATCTGTTAATTTTCATCCCAGCCACCCTGCACTAAACAGCAAAAGGGTTTGCAATACAGTATTGGAAAAAAATATACAATATATGTACAAATACTGTACATTAATATACTGATGAGTAATTTGAACAAGTTTTAAATGCTGTTACCCCTGTTTATGAATCAACATGGCACTGAAAATGGAATCAAACAGTTTGTCATAAAATGTTTTCGATCCTGGACATTTGAATACTCTCCTTATCTAACCGAACAGTAATCAGGCATTAAGACAAGAATACACATGAAAATATGAAAACTGACATTTAGTAAAGTATAGATTAATTTAAACTTAATATATGTGAATATGATAAAAACATATTACAGTACCATACACAGTATTTCTAATTATAATTCTGCAGTAAATGGATCATTCATACAAGATATGCTTAAAGAGCTTTACAAGTACTGTATAAACATCTTGATTAAAACAGGAAGGAATCTGGAATGGGTATAAAAATATTTCAGGTCTTTTAAACTTAGGTCCAACAACATGAATATCATAACTGGTGATCACATATACTTTCATCATCAGTCAGCTCTATGAATATCACTCCTGACTTTGAACTAATTCCCTCACTCTCCTGAGAGAACTTTGGCTGGTCATGCTGCCAGACCTATGCCAACCAACCAGCAATGATGTAATTAAGACCAATTCTTGTCTACCCATGTTATCTTTTAAGCTCATTCTCACAACTACAACAGAAACAAATACCTGTACACAACTTTGATTACCAAATGAAAGACTCGTAGTCACACCTGAAAAACTGCACACCAACTGATGGTGCATCACATACAGGGGACGTACCTACCGGTACTGTATGTACTCCTTGTGGTTTTGAAACCTTTCCTTCAATCACAATGAATTTAGTTTTATTTCAGAGTCTAAGCCATAAATCTTTAAGAAAAATATTTTTATCTCCCAGATTCCATCATAAAGCAATATGAAAGTTTGAGTTAAAAGAACATTAATTGTAATATAAAATAAAATATACCGTAATATAATATAATACAGTATAATATAATATAATATAGGTACTGTATATAATATAATACTGTATTAAATACTATTTAATACAGTACTGGTAAATGTTCAACTCTTTTATGTCAATAATTAATTTACTGTGTACTTACCTTGATGATGTCTTGTGTATGGAAGTTCATTAGATGGCTTGAAATCCAAAGCGGGGTACCCATCTAACTGATGCAAGAGAACAGCACTCACTGGCTCCAGGCCACGAGATACTACAGGGTATTATAAAAATCACCAATGAAGTGCCGCACTATAACATGGTTGCATCAAGTGGTGTCACTCCATTTGAACTGTTAAAAATGATTGAATACATTGCTTGACATTTTATGGCCAAGATCCTCTTCAAAGTATTTTTAAGGTGAGTGCACATACAATATGGTATTGTAGTGTGATGGAGGTTTTGAGGGATTGTATAAAGGTACTACTACAACTTAGAAATCTATTCTTTCCCTCCTCCTAACTTAAAATTAATTCCTAAGAACATTTAATTTAACTCCTTCACTACTAATCATTCTAATACATATCCTGAAGCCGCCTCATATGATGTCTTACATCTAGTCGTCAGGTAGTTTAATATCAGTACAAATACGGTTATATATTATCATTAACAACACTGAAGCACATTGGCAGTCTTCAGTTGTAAAAAAAATTTACATATGAAATCATATTCTAAGGTTTGAGCCCTAAGAGCCAGGATAAATAGGCCACACTCTTAATCACACTGACTTTCAGGGAACAATTTTCCATACCAATTTGATGGAGCAGCAAAAAAATCCTGAAAAGCGATGCCTTTTTCCCTCCATCCCTACTTGTTCAAGAATATGGCATGCTGCACATGGAAGATGACTAATAATACTAACAATAGCCATAAAAAAATCTCAATATACCCTAATGAAATATACTTTCCTTAGGGCATGTGTAACATTTTCAATATTGCAATTCGAAAGGTAAATATCATTTTACAATTAAATGACTATGGAATACAGTACACTGTACTGTAATGTCAATGAATAAAATATATCTGGTCATGGTTAACATTGCTTCGTTGGTAAAAATTATAATAGTGAGGTTAGGGAGAACAGAGAGTATTGTTGTCATTTATTGGCTTGAAACAAATAAATGACAACAATACTCAAGTTTTCCAGCAGTATTTATGAACTCCCCAAACAATCATTTTTAAAGCCTCACTGCCTATGCAGTTTATGAAACTTAGCTGCCTCTAAAGAGAACATAATTCTGAGGGTCATGCAATGAACTTAGGGTACTCCCACAGCCTCACTCACATACTGTCATAGAAGGCCACACTTGACACTAAGAGATCTTGACTTTCTGTGGGAATTTTTTTCAATTAAGCCAAAATACTGTACTGTAATTAGAACAATGATCCTCCCTGTGTATTAAAAACCAGCACATGAGGCACTGTTACACTTGGAGGACCTACTAGAACCATATTACTCCAACCGTTAGAATGAATATTACTAAATAAGAATTCACTCATGGCATCCTCAATATCTCGTAACTACTGTACAGTACATCGATCCTGACAACATGATCATTTCACAATTTTAGATAATGTTCATGTTCCTTTGAAACCTGACTTTCTTAGACTGAAACTTGAAAGACCTTTAAAAATCTACACTTAATCATGATCTATCAGTGGCGTCACTTCAGTATAAGATCACTCATGACTCTTCCTGGAATTGGAGGAGTTAAAGACTTATGTACAATTTACAGTACAGCAAATATTTTATCTAGAGATCACATAGTTTGGCACTGCCTCAGTCACTGTGGAAGACCGATATTAGCATAGTTGGTATTATATCACCCTTTCTCTGGTTTTGGAAGGAATTACATACAACAATCCTGACTTCCTGAGGGATGACTGGCTAGTGTACATAAACAAGAATTTTTTTTTTTACTATTAACAGCCCAATAAATATCAAGTTTCTTCACTGGAAGAAAACTGGAACTGGAGAGTGTAAGTGAAACAGAAAGTGTGTGTACCCTTGTATACAGTGTATGTGAATACATACAATATATGTATACAGTACTGTATGTACAGTAGCTAAAACAACTATCTGTGCATACTTTGTGGGAAACAATATGAGACCATGGACGACAAATTTTGGTGTACGAGGACTGTCACTAATCACGTAAAATTTCAGAGCATATCGACCCCCACCTACACAGATAATTGTTTTAGCTACTGTACAGTATACATGTTAGTATAGGCATACACTTGCTTATGTATGAACACATACCTTGTATTTTATTCTGCCAGCCTTTAAGAATGTTTCCATCGGGAATATTAACATATAAATATTATTAAGGCATTTTACTCTAAGTAGTGAAGAGCATGAATATTAATAGAGAAAATGAGCTCAATGTCATAAAATTCCACACTTGCGTAGATTAGCCACAATTACCTGTTGGCAGCTCTCCATGGTGCATTGTCTCTTGCAGTCTGTCTTGTTAAGTTATATTAACTTTAATATCACCTCTACAACCTCCTCCACTTGTCATTCTTGGCCTACTCCTGGCTCTCCTCCCTTCCACATTTCGGCTCATGCACCTCTTGACCCACTGATCTAAGCTATTCTCTCCACATGCCCAAACCACTTCAGCTTGCCTCTTTGCACAACTCCACCAATATTCTCAAAACCTATCTGCCCCTTTAGCTCTGAACAGGGCCTGCAGTCTTTGAGTATCACATTACACATCCACCTCACCATTCTCATTTCAGCTAACTTAAGCCTACTTATGTCATCCCCTTTAACTACCCATGTTAACTGCCATACAATATCACATTTCTCACACCAATCACATAAATGCTTCTTTTCAAACAGAGGGAAGGTTCTCTTGCTATCAATAAAGGCAGTAGCTCCCTAAACTTCCTCCAGCCACTTCTGACTCTTGCAACTGAGCACACTTCAGTACTCCCACCAACACTGATCATGTCACCAAGGTAACAGACCTCATTGACACAGTCCAGCAATATATCCCCAATGATGAGTTTCTCCAGCCTTGCTGTGGGCACATGGTCATCTGAACATACAGAACACTTAAAGTCAACATCATCCTGCAGTTTGTCATTTACTCCAATGTACCTATAGTGTACCCACCTTCCACACTTGTTGCACATTACTGAGTTGTTGTCAAAACTTTCCTTCAGACAGCACATGGCTATTTTCCACTTTCCATCATGGGTTCCTCACCAACACCACTCATCAATGCTTTTTTTTTTTTGCCACATTCACTCTCAAGCCCTTTGAGTGTGTTCCATCCTTCCATTCCTTCAATTTCTCCACTGCCACTTCAATAGTATCTGTTATCAGTACTAAGTCATCAGCAAACAACAACTCCCAGGACAGGCATGTCCTAAAGTCCTATGATATTGTTTCCAGCACCATGATATGCAGTCGGGGACTCAATACCAAACCTGTATATATAAATCTTTAAAGTATTAATATAAGAAATAAATATACTTCTCAAATGCAATGAACAGTACAGACAGTCCCTGAGTTATGAACGGATTACGTTTCTAGACCTTGTTCGTAAGCCGATCTGTTTGTAAGTCGGAACAGCATCAATTCCAGTTTAAATTTGGTTAAAGCACAACCCAACCTATAGAAAACAACAATAATATCCCATAAAAAACAAACACTATTATGTAAACACTGTAAATAAAGTGGTGTTTAACAATATAGAATAATGAAAGTAATATAAAAAATGGGATTATAGTTACATATTTTGTGATGAATATATTGGGATCCCGTTCGTAAGTGCTGGTGTTCATAACTCAGGTGCTGCCTGTTAGTAAAAAAGTATGGCCTATACACATTCATCTTTAAGAATCTCTTTATCACTAGCCACCTGTCTAATTCTTCAGCGTTAAGAGACCAGACGTATCATGACCAACAGAACCCTTGGAAATAATAAAATCACCAAGGTCGTCTCGGTGCTCCTTCTGTCTCATGGATTAGTTGTGTTACAATTAGTTACATTTACTGAAATGTAAAGAAAATTACATTACAGTAAACTTGGCTAACAGCTGAAAAACTATATTGCACTCTGATTAACAATGTGTACTATGTTTTCAGGAATATACAGTAATTATTAAAAAAAAAAAAGACTAGAATTGGCCCCTAAATTAATTTGTCAAAAAGATAATTTAATATGGACAGATTAATGGATATACAATCTCTAACTTACATGCGTATGATAAGTAATTAAGAGTGTAACACCCAAGAACAAGAAGTTCATTCTGAAAATTACATCTAAATAAAATTATTATGATAGAATATTTGCAAACTTCTTATCTTGTATGTTCTCAATTGGTGTATGCAGCTTTCTCAGCCACATACTAGTACAGTATTTAGCTTTTAGTTAATACTGTACGTAGTTCATTAGTCTTTTGCCTAATATGTGGGTAAAGTCATGAATTACCGAACCAGTTAACCAGGATTGCATATGAACAATGGGAAAAATACTTTGCACAATTCGACCTGTCACTTAATATCTTGCAACAGTAACTGTATATACCTGTACACCTCTCCTTAACCTTACATGATTACAAAAGAAAGATTGCATTAATTATTACCTAATCTGTTACTGAGAACAGTAACTTTACACAAACATTAGCAGACAACTCTTCACAAGTTTTCCTCAAATTATCTGTACAATAGTACCATATCATAATGTTGTCCTTTAGCTTGTACAGTTGAGTTGCAATAATTCTTTAAATACATATTCGCATTCTTAAATTCGTGGGTACCTCTATTACCAACACTTTTTTTAATTGTGGTCAAATATTTATAATTCAAGGCCGAGTGCCAGCTGCCGCAGGCTTTATTTACATAAGAAGCCACAGAAGTCAAGGAAATATAATTTCAATGCTCTAGTGTGACTTACAAATAAAGAAAATATAATGTTAAACTCCAAAATAAGAAAAATGAAGAAAGGGACATAAATTGTATAGAAGTAGGAGGTAAGATAGTTGGATTGAGCAGAAATTCATAACCCCACAACCTCTTCTTGACAGCATGCAATCTCACCATTAATTCCCATATTATTTAGGTTCATTTGGTGCCAGGTAAATAAAATAATATCGTAAATTAATAAATTTTCTCCAAAAAATTCCCACCATCAACCTCAAGTGAGTTCTTATGTCTCATTATATTCCTGGTGCTGTTTACATAGGCAAAGAGCTGAACAGGCAGCCAGCTGCATGCCTGCCTGTTTCCATGTTGGCATATTGGTGTGACCCAGAGGATTGTTATGGGAAGGGAGGGTACTATTAATACAACATAGAACTACTTTTTGTACAATATCTATAAGTTACTGAAATTTTTATGTATTACATACTGTACAATATTTAGTGTTATTTGAAGTAGTTTTGGGACAGTTTATGCATATTTTTTGGCATATGAAACAAATGAATTATTTTAACTTAAATCAATTACTGTAAACTGTACTATAATTTGCAATTTGATAACATACATTCATAATGTTTTCTGGTACCTAAACTGCAAATTATTGCAACTCCACTGTATAATGAAATTGCACATTTTGTTACCTACTGTAGGACTACAGCTCTGTACAGTACTGTAAACAACAAATAACATATAAAAAAATTCTGTTCAGTGCTCAGCACCAACTTACAGTACCTATAAGATAGTAAGAATGTTCAAACTTATCCGTTACCTTGCATAATGAGTTCACTGGAAATATTTTTGTATTAAAATTGCATATTCTATTACCATGAACTGCAATTTGTCCAACATTAAACAACACTAGTGGAAGAAAATCCATCAAACGAAAATACAACTACAATACTTTAATCTCTTCCTCACTATTTGTAGGGTAGAAATCCCCAAACAAGAAGTGTTTGCTAAGCCTAAGGCATTGACATGGCTGGTGGCCAATTGTGCACACACCTCCCATAGCAGAATAATGTCTGACCAACCATTACCTGACATTGAAATGAACCTGTGTCATATGTGCTGAAAATCTACATTAACAACTGTGTCATGGAGACCTTAAATTAAAATACAGTATTAGTGTCAGACAAAATAACACAGTTTCTTTTCTTGTGGCACATATTCCAATAAACCCCAGAAATGTCTGAATTTACCCTTCAGTAATTTTGACAACACCTAAATGTCAACTATGAATAGCTGTATCTTCCATTTCATCAACACTACACACAATCATCCACTAAAGCTTACCAAACTGTAAGAAAACATGCAGTTAATATTACTGTACCAGCCTTGACCTACTGTACCGTATATCATAAAATCATGGATACATTTACAGAAGAATGATGTTAGAAATGATATGAAAGAGCACTTTCTTAGCCTTGGAGCATGACCAAGTACACTATGTACAGTGTAAATTAGCTAATAGTTTTATTGTTTCTCATTAATTATATTTTACCAGCTTGATCAAATAAAACATAACAAGGGCTTGCTCTACCCCTTCATCGGTGGCAATCAATGCTCTCTGGTGATTAATTTTGGGTAAAGATGAATAAACTGGTGATAACAAGATCTGAAAATGGTATTCACAATCACAAACAGATATACAATAACAGTATCCTCATCCTCAAAACAGTACCAGTGTGGATCTTGCAAAGTTTTCCAAAATTTCCAAACAAAATATGGATCTCTGTACAGTACTTTGAAAACTGATATGATGGTGCAATGGTATGTGTACTGTATGTTGCCTTAGTGCCATTGTTCTTTCCATTAAGCACTCATCTTTATGGTAATTTCCCACTTAAGCACAAACTCTTATCATCACATAACTTGGACTGTCAACACTAAACAACCCTGAAGACAAAGGCATCCTGCACTCTCTCAAATCTAACTTCAATAGGAAATGCAAACTGTATATACAAGAGAAACGGTCTTTAGAATAAGTAGGTGATTGTGGTCTATTTCATAGCAAGACATTTACAAACATAGAACTACTGTATAGTCCAATCACATCACAAAACACACACCTACTTTCCACCTTTAGCTTTCATTCCACTTTCTTCAGTCATAAAAAAAAAAGATTTAAGTTCCATTTTCATTACAAGACACAGAGCCATGTTCCAGTGTCATAATACAACACAGATTTATGTTTCAATGTTCAGGTTCTGACCTTGACATTCAGTACAGTACCCACACTACTTGACTACTATCCTTGAAAGTTTTTTACTACCGGTATACCACGACGGTTATGAGTGAATGGATTCCTGCATGTGTATGTGACCATACTTTTCTTTACTTAAAATTATTTAAGTATCCATACATTGTGTGTGTGTATGTGTGTACTCTCTGTATATTGCATTTTTGCAAATAAATTTCTATACAAATACTGTATTTATTTACTTATATGCATATGGGTTCTTATTTGTATATGTTGTACATGGATTATATACATGTAGATAAAGTAAGATCTGCCCTAATGTACTGTACTATAATTTTTTGGCTGAGATACACTTGGATTTTTGCCAAAATTCTTGTAATATCAGTCAGGTTATCAAATCCTTATTGAAAAAAAAAGGTAATGCCATGGGAGACAGAAACCTTAAACATTAGTCCCCTGCTACTCAGAGTGCCATAACTAAGAACAAAAAAGAATTCTTCAAAAAATAAAATGAAATACGTACTTCCAAGGAATACTAAATTGGACTGACACACTACAAAAACTCCAAGTTGGAAAACCCTGACATGCATATACCTAAATATCAACAAACAATTAGGTACACCCATACCCTTTCGTTCTTTTCATAGGAACTTTACATCCTACAAGTACACAAAATAAGACACAAAATATCCAATTGTCCATCAGAAACAATAATGTAAGAGTACCTTGGCCACAGGTACACTACGTGGCTACACACTATAATACTAACCTACTACAGGACAGTATGTAGAAGTTTGCTGCAGGAACACGAGGCACTCTTCTTATTAGCATCACAAAAGCTACCCATCTTTAGCTCACTAGACCGCCTTCAGTGACCACATTCTTTCGAGGTCTCTTCTTCCTCGTCCTTATTTCTATTTTCTTTCATTTTTGGGTCATTTTCCAGGTCACCTTCCTTGTCTGGATTATCTACGCTAGCCCTACATGTTTCAGCATAACCGGAAGTAATCTTTTCAAGCTCTACATTTCCTTCCTCACCTCGACGTACACTTTCTGATTTGACAGTTGTACTGTCTTCTGTTTCCTTTGTGCCATCTATCTGTGAAACCTTTTTACTACTGTCACTACTTTCTTGTGTATTCTCTTCATTATTTACACTGGGTTTTTCTTTTTCATCTTCAAGTATATCTTTTACAATTTGTACAGGAATGTCACCATTTATTTTAGCAAGGCCCATTTGTAAAGCTAAAGTGGTTTTCTTGGGATCCTTAATAGTTGTACAAGCTGCATATGTTACTTCATCTAGGCTGGCCAGTTGTGGCAAAATCTGCAACAATAATATGAATTTACTGTAATTCTGCCTCAAGAAGAACCACTCGAATCACATACAAACACTCACTTGCTTAAGCTAACATGAAATCATAACCTACTCAAAGGCCCAGTATTGAATTGGCCAGTCCAGTGTCAGCTGATCTTATAGTCATAGAGTATAAGTAGTCCAAATAGCAAACCATTTTACTTTTTAATCAGATTGAAGTTATTTTACTACTCTGACCTGCTGCCCCTAAAATTAAATGGACTTGACATGCTCTGGACACAGTATATACGTATACTGTATCCCAGGTTGCAAAAACAATATTATCTAAATTCCCTAAAGGCACCAAATGTTCCTGGAATGAAAATATAAATAAAACTGATGTTGGAAGTAGATGAAAAAAATTTAATGGTATACTGTACAGCACATATTAACGTACATACTGTACCTGGTCATGTGTCACAGCCCCAGTTATCTCCATTCAAGCTAACATTTGCTTCTCCCTGTCTCACTTCTTTATTTATTTTAATTATTTCGCTTATTTTTCACGTGCACTATCAACTTTTTCCGAATACGCACTCTTCAAAACTCATTTACTAAAATTCATAAAGTTCCTCTGAAATACCCACTAGAGTACTGTCATTTACAAACAGCAGCCATCTCAGTCTCTTATCTACACCCCATAACATTCCCAAACTTGTACCTCTCCATCACTCTTAATGTCACTCCTATAATTACCAATACTGTGCTCCATTCCTGAAAATATATTAGAGAACCAAGGTGACATGTGTTGGGAACATACATCTTTCCCTAAAATACCTGAATATTTGTAAATGTCTAAGTTAAGAGGTTGGCATGACACACAGTTTTAGACCCACAGACGTACGTAATATAAAATCTTTTACAACAAAGGTTCCAAAAGCAGCATCAAGGCAACTTTGCACCCCAGACAGAACCCCTTAAGAATTTTGAAAAGGTCAGTGCCAGGATGTTTAGTATTTAATTTACACCGAATGCATGACAATTATTACCAGAGAATGTGTGAGTGTATATGTTTGTTTTCAACTACCAACCATTAAGTGAGAAAAGATTTGAAAGAGTATAAAATACCACAAAAGTTTTACCTCTTCTGCTCCAGTATCTGCAACTTCAGAAGGAACATCTGCCACCTCTAATTTTGCCATAAGTTGAGAGAGTTTACAGGCCTTCCTTCGCTCGTTGGCTTCAATGATTCGGCAGAGGTGTTCCGTAAGCAGCTCCTTCTTGTCCAGTTTACTGAACAGCTGTAACTTTGCTTCAATGAACTCCTTTTCTGCCTTGTCATACCGTTTTCTGATAAAATAAAACAGACATGATGAAAACAGTCCATCATACACATCCTTCTTCAATTACATGCACCCTAAACCACAGACATAAATCTCCTGCTACACTAGCCAAATTGCAAAATTTTTTGTTCATGAAGAATCATTACTGTATTGCTGTAGGGGTGGTATGCATACCTTTCTTTTCTAATTATTAATAGTTTCCATGAATCACCCATAGTTTTATTCTGAGAAATAATCACAAGATATTTACCAGGGAGTGCATACTCACTCATACTCTCCATGCTGGGTTTAGCAACCCCTCTGCCAGAGGAGATCCAAGAGGTAACCTTCTCCATCAAACCATCACAGATTGGATTTATTTCACATTTCATCATCATAATATTGGCAGGTGAGGGTCTGTTTCCACCTAGCAGTGAATGGGACACAGGATGGGTATGGGCCCCTGGGTCATCAAACCCAACCCTCACTTGTGTTATGGTTGGGGGGATTTATGGCACTGAAGAACATGAATTGTTGCTGTGGCCACCATTTTTAAATGAACACATGACTAAAGAAATGTCCACTGTTTACTTGGTACTGACCTAATGGAAACTTTCAGTTTCAAAAAGTACTTAATGCCTATTTAGGTCTCTGGCTAGAGCAGGAATGCAGCTAATCCTTTATTTAATCCCTACTCCTAGACACTTGTTAAGATTTAATCTAATCTTGGTATTAACTCGAAACATAACTGGCTGAATAACAGGAGTTCCTGTGATGACTAGCAATTTATAATCTGTATACACGTGAATAACAGATGTGACACAATTACGTAATGAATCTTAACATCTTCCGAATTAATCATCAGCCTTCTGTAAATATAAATGGGTGACGGGTAACCTTCAGACACCGTAATTAACGATTACAGCACTTCATAAAAAAGTAATACGTCTAATTATAGTGAATTGTAACAGTAACAGCTACTGTTCAGAATTGTACATCATAATCTATGTGGATCAGAACCATTAGCCAGACACAGATGGAGGTGGCAGTGTGTACCAAGCCAGTCTCTGTCATGTTGAGGTCATGGACTAAACTCATCAAGGTAAAGTCACTCCACAGAAGCAAAAGATTTTTATACACTATTCTTTCTTTTCTATCTTTTGACTATTTAAGTACAGAACTATGATCCACTTTCATGAATACATTACTGTACTATGGTGGTGTTCCTCTCTATATTTTCTAGTTCTTGCATTATGTGTCAAGCTTAACATACAGTACAAGGCAATAAACTTCACTGAAATATCACTTTGCATATTATGACAAGTAATCTATTGTCATAATTAACACAATCTAAAAAGAACACTTAAAATCATGCACACATAATCACCAATTATATAGCTCATCTCTGCTGTTGCTGCAACCATCATACACATGCACATGGACGTCGCCACACACAGGGACCTAAATCTTTACCCGAGTGTGGACGTAAACACAGATGCTGAGGTGGATGTTGAGGATAGCAGTACTAGTCGCTTCCTAATTTTTAAAGACAAGATATAAATGTTCTAATGAGTTTGTGTAATCACCAATCTGTGGGCAGGATGATGTTTCAGTGACACAGAGAACAGGGTAGTGATAGAAATACGTTCTGTATTGTATTATGGTTCCCTTTAGAGTTGTATGGACCAATATTAAACTGATGGTGAAAGAGTCCCCATTGATTCACCTTCATATAACTAATGTGTATGTGATTCAGGTTATGAACCACTCGGGCAGCATCACAAAACACCACTGCACCAACAGTCAAATACAATAATAGTATTAACCTCTTGTGTACAGGTTCCCCTCCGAGCTGAATAAAATATTAAAGCGGTGTTCCCGTAGTGAAAGGGCTAATTATTCGTGGACAAAGGAACCATTTCAAGTTACTTCATGGCTTTGTAAAAATGTAAGAAAATGCCACAAAGGACACTGTTAACTAGAAGCGAGTATATTCCTCACATAAAGCTGAACATTTACTAGCCTGGTAAAATTCAGGGGACTGGTGGTGAAAACAGAGAACCAGTTACATCTACTTCCCCTGTTATAATATTATTAGTCTCTTTCCAACCTTTCTTCTTATTAGTTACCACAAACCTTTTATACAATAATGCACTACCTACCCATTCAATGTTAAAAATTTAAATACAGTACAGTATTAACATATCTGAAGGTTTAGAAGCACAGTAGAGTATGTTTCAAACAATTACTGTATTGGAATATTTTAGGGATGAATTATTTCTCTTTTTTCTTTTACATCCATCTATCTGTTACCCTTCCTCCACTCCCAAATTCTAAGGTGACTTAAATTAACAGACATTTCAAGAAAGAGAAGAAAAGAGGACAGTGGGGTAAGTAATGCTAGAAAGTGACAGTAAAGGGTTGAAACAGAAAGTACTAATACTCCATACATACTTCCACACATCCTTAACACTAATACAAAGTTTACAAAATGAGTTCTTAACCTCTCTTAACAAGAGAGTGACCAACAATTAGTTATCGGCTACAAATAGTAACAGTTCCTAGGGATACCAAAGTGGGTGGAGCTAAAGTCCTGAAGTCAATTCAATGATGATACCAAGATGAGCCCCAAAGTGTACACCACAAATCTGACAGATGCTGAATGTAAGAATGACAGTTATAATATGATAAATGTCTACTGTATATATTTAATTACCATCTATGTCAGTGCCTTTCCTGATGACTCGTGTGTATTTTTTATTAAAAAATTTATTTACTATGAATTATTATTATTATTATTATTATTATTATTATTATTATTATTATTATCATTATTATTACTTTTACATTTTCGCCCCCCAGGCCCCGATGTGGGTCACGGACCTGTACCCGGGTGGGCTAATACACATTTTAAAAAAATAAATAAAATAAAAAAATAAAAATAAAAAATAAAACTTTCGGTATTCAGAGCTTTTCGGTTTTCGGAATTTCGGATAAAGGGTTGTCAACCTGTACTATTAACTCCAACAATTCTTTATACCAGTGTCGATAAACATTGATAAAAGACTGAACTGGGTAATAAATAACAAGACTCTATCATCAGTGACTTACCAACAGAACAGCTGAATGGCATCCAATGAATAAAATATTAGATATATCACATTTAATCTCACTCACTGTGCCTCATTAAATTCCAGACTGGCAACTTCTATCTGGTCCCGGAGGATGGAAACATCAGTAGACAAAAGAGAATCCAACTTAGCTAATTCTGACTGAATCTGCTTCAACTTCTGCGCTTCTGACTGTGTACGCCGACTCCTGTAAAAGAAAGGAATTTGAAAGTTGTCACACTGTACATTTGTATAGAAGACACAATATCACATTCAATATTAATTCAAGGGTGAAAACATTGAAATATACAACAAACTCTAAGTAATATAAATGTCACTGATAAAAGTGAAAAACAAACCAAAGTACTGTACGGTACAATAAAGTACGTAAGTATCTGTGAACCGAAAATCAACTTAACAGGATACTGTAATCTATTCTACAGAAGATCTGAGCATTTCCAATATGAAATTTAAGAATGTAAAACATTTTATTTTAGTCAATTTTCCACATACAGTATATGACAATAACATACCTATCAGCAATGGCCTGAACTAATAGTTCTCTACGTCGTTTATTCTGCTCTTCCATCATCTTCTGACGTTTCTGGAACTTTTCAAGTGAAGGTTCATCTTCTTTATCTTTTTCACAATCTTCACTTTGAATGTTATCCTCCAATTCAGGTTTTGAACCAAATGGCTGGTTCTCCAACAATGACCCATTTGTTGTTATTAATTCATAGGAATTATTGTCTCGCAGGCGAATTTTGACATTCTTAGCATGACTACCTGTGGATAATAGTGAAAATTGTGTTAATTAATAAAGTCTTAAACATGGCACTCACTGAGAATAATAATCAATCATTAATACAAAAATAAATATAGTATTATACACAACTAAAAAACATCACTCTTCTTTTGAGAACAGTTTCAAGAGCCACCAATTTTGTGTGTTCCAGGAATCATAGTGAAACCCATTCTGTTAACAGCATAACTAATGTTTTATGATACAGTACATCATATTACTATCCTCAACTAAGTCAAACACAACAGAGAAACAAGTTTGAAAAGATTGTAAATGAAGGATTGGTCCTGAAACCATGTTTTATACCCAAGCCAGGATTGTGCAACACCACACAGCCAGCAAGGCTAGGGATCAAAATCAATTCTCCATTTATAACCTCACACAGGGATCATGCAACTCTATGTACTAAAGCCAGCTGAGGAAGGAAGGTAAGAGCTACCAAAAGGTCTTCAAGTGTTATGCTCAGCTTGTATCCCTAATGAGTGCGATCCAACCAGATCATCCTGAAGCCTCAGAGAGTAAGACATAAAAGAACAGTCCCAAGAATCCATGATACTAACTGCCCACAAATGGAGCAGCTAATCAGGACCTTTATGGTGGATAAACTACCAAAGGCTGTCATTAAGTTTGCACTAAACTAAATGCGTACAACCAAGCTGACCAAGTTGAAACGTCCCCAACAAGAGAATACCTATACTGAAACTCTAAGTATCGACAACACTAATCCCACAGCCTCTCCAACTTATAGTACATGGTTTGATGATTATCCCACCAATGACCACGGCTGCTGCAGTACCCCCTCTCCACCCCATTTATTCTCTGTGATTGAACACTGGCCCAGAAATAGAGAACCCAAAGGTGCTTTTCATGCAGTTAGAATTGCGAGAAAGATCCCCAAAAGACCACATAACTCAATAAATTGAGAAAATGGTGTAAGTCATTGTCTTCTCCCACTCTCTGACTCAAAGTCAGCAGTAAAAAGAAAAATCATTTGAGAAGAGTTGAATTAGCTTCTGATTCATTTCGCAAACTGTTGACATTCAAATACAGTAGTGACATCCCAGATCAGTTTCTGTTTCAGTATGATTTAAAGCAGACTGTCCTCCAGTTACTGTGTAGTAAATACATCCACTTAATTAAGTCCTCCTGTGAAGTAAATCCTAGGACACGGTGGTTGTCAAGCAATGTATACCAATCCATTTTCCCCATTTTAAAGGAGAAACATTTGAGACAAAGATTGGATTTAACACCTGTTTGGAGGGCATTGCCCTCTTCCCCTTTGAGGCAACTGCCCTAACACTAAGCTCCCAGCAACAAGTGTGGCAAGTACTGTACAGAAGAGTTTTAACGTTAGAATGAACACTCCCAGTAACTTCCCATAACTCCTGAGGTAATATCAAAGAACCTCTACTATACAGTATTCTTAAAAGCTTATACTGTATAAGATTCTCAGAGCCATCAACTGCCTAGAAAATGTAGTTACCTTGTACTGTACTGGGAATGAGATTAAGTTTCATCTCAACAGCTTAATGTTGATAGCCCCTAAGAACATCAGAGATTCCCACATTTAAGTACATGAGGTCCAGAATCACTCCATGACCTAAAATTTTTCAGAAAAAAAAAAAATCCCTAAACTACTCAGCCTCAAAAGCCGAACCATGTTAACCTAACAATTCAAACTGCCTAAATCCACAGGGCATCCAAGTTCCTCCCATTTATGATCTGGGTTGCCAAAAGATTTTCTCCAACTTAACATATTACAGAGCTTTGAATGACAAAAGATCCTATTCCAAAATCCATTAAAATGAGTCAATGTGTCACCTGCCAAAAATTCCACACCTATGACCACTCTCAACCCAACTTGCCCCTCTCCCACTATTCTACTGAGACTGAGGAAGAATTAGAAGAGGATCTCAGTTTAAAAAATGGAAGATAATCTGAAAGTGAGCCTCATAGCCTTGACAGCCAGTAAGGGCAGTGCACAAGCTAACCAGCCACTGAAATCATCTAGTAAACTAAACACTGTTGCAAAACAATATACAGTAAACTTATCACATGTATAAAACTAACACCTAAAACTTAGCTTGTCCATGATATCATAGTAGGTTCTTACCAGTTCCACACTGCTGAGATGTGACTGGATCTGAAGGCTTGTTCCCAATGAGTGTTCTAGAGTCAACGTCAACAAAGGAGAGGATTGGAGCATTCGTGTTTAGCTGGGCAGCAGAAGTCTTAAGCTGTCTCCCATTTTAGAATACTTTCTTAGCACTTGGTTATCCTTCAAAAACCCAGTACAAAGGGGAGAGATATTTCAATTTCAAATTTATTTTATTCTTAATCTTGATCACAAAAGTCAGGACTCTAGGGTTTTGACCTCAGGACTTACTGACTACAAGGAGTTGCTTGATCCTTACATAAGGTTACAAAACTGAAAAGTCTTACATATTGCTTACCTGTTGGAGACTTGCATGGTGAGGGGGGCACTGGAGATTCAGAATGTGAAGAGGAACTTTCTAGTGATTCTGGGGATCTGTGACCAGAGGAACGTGATGGACTGGTCGGCTCCGAATCCTAAGAATTACAGCTTAAGTTACAATTCATAATGGCGTAATAACTTAATCAAACTGATATTAGAGAATGTGGAGAGATATGACCATTAAGAAAAACGTTCTTATTCCTTTTTAAAAACTCGAGAAAATTAAGTCGTGTCAATTCACACATGACACAATGATTTTTGGCTGCATAGTCAGTCCTATGCCCACCTTCCCTGACTGACCTATGGAGAATCAAATTTCCATCCACAACTTTTATACTTTTCGCTGTTAACACATCCTGACCTGACCCGTGAGGCACTGCCGGGAGTATGTTTATTTCTTGGCTCACAGGCTATAACCGGGCACTCACTCACACAGTGTTGCTCGCCCCCGGCACTAACACGGTGTTCTCCCAGGCTGTGCATTAGATTCGTGCAGCCAATGGACAATTCAATGGTCAGTCTCATATTTTTTCTACACAAAAATTTTTACCCCTGACTGAAAAAGTTCGATAGGGAGTACATATAATGCTGTCTACCCATCTGCCTGTTTATTACAATCAAATTTCATATATATAAGTTCTTTATACACATTACTGTACAGTACATGACCCATCAATTTTGGTCTTAACTGGAGAAGAATCAGCCATTCCACCAACAGCTCTACTTTGGTTACTGACATGCTTCTGGATAAAGACATCAAGCAAGTGTTCAAGTCTTGATCTGTAGTATTGCTATTTGTGGGTTACCAGGTAAGCCCCTAATTATACTGTACTGTACACTGGTTATTCAAATCTCTAGTTCCATATCTAGTGAGGTAATGATGACAAAGTGATGAAGATCCAAACTAATCCATAGGTAGAAAGTATTGTGTAAATCTTTCCACATCATAATCAGTCTCTACACCATACAGTATCTATCCTTCTATCTATCTATGTAAGTAGGTGGATATATCCCTTGAACATAAGCCAAAACTACACATTAAAAGTCTCTAAATAATATCTAAAAGATTTATTGTTTTATTTCAGAATAGGAAGGTATACACAGTGTCTATGTACAGTACTACAGCAGTTTAAATATAGGGGACAGTGAGCTAACTACGGACATACAGACTATACACAGAGTAGACTGAATGTATAGGTACCGTGTAAATATAACCCCAAATCATCTAACATCAGTGTTATCTAAGCTTGAGATATGTACTGTATACAACTTAAATGGTGATTCATACTTATAACTCATCCTCCATACTAAATAAACAACAATGAACAACTATGAAATAAGAGTTTCCTCCATTACTGAATTCTCTTTCTCTCCACGGAGGATTAATCACAAGATCAATTTTCATTGTCTCAGAGCTGCTGTTGAAATTCCATTAAAAAAACATTTTTACTACAGTACTGTATAAAAAAATCATCACATAGTAAAATATGAAAAGTTATTGAAAAAAATGTAGGCGGTAACATAATAAGAGTATAGTATACAATACTGATATACAGTAATCAAGTTCCAATTCACATAATTAATTTACTAAGACAATTAAATTAAATTCACCATAAAAAGGTATCAACACGATACCAGAAATTAAGAGACTCTCACAACATTCTCAATTGAAGGCAATGACTTACTGTTTCAGTGTTTATCACTTACCTGGGACTGGGAGAGTCTGGCCTGTGGTGGGATGGGGGAGTAATTGTGAGAAGTCTTGACTGCCTTGGTCATCCCCAGCTTCTCTCTATAGGGAATCTTTCCTGCAGACTGAAGCCTGGCTTGACGCAAGTCTGACTTCTGAGTCTGTACTATAAGGAAAATAAAACTAATGTACTGTACAAGCATTCATACAGTAAAACAATGGAAACATAATAACAATTTTACTAATTAGACTGTCTAGTTTCAGCTGTCCTTGAATACCAAAGGTAAAATTGTTTACTATAAGAAAATGAAAAAAATCTGAATGTTTTCTTCTAAACAGTATATATTTTTCTTAAGTACAATAGTTGGCCAACCCAGACCCTTGTCTTAACATATACCCCAAGTCTTTAGCACCTAAACAACCTATTTTCAACTACTGTACAGTAATACTTTACTGAACAACTTCTCCCCAACTACCTCAAGTACACCATAAATTATGCTGAGGATTTACATTTTTTTAATTTTGGTTTTTCCATAGTTTTTCCTGTAGATAATGGACGTGTATCTGCCATGTCCACCCAACGTCATATTTGCACTTGATCTGCTAATATAAACACACTTCCAGTGACCATTCCTTCCAAACACTTACAATGACTACTACATTATATAATTTATGAGATAAAATAAACCAACCTAACTTACCTATCCTAATTAAAATATTTTACACCATTGTTAAGTAAGTTTTGGTAGGCTAGGCTGATTTATCTCATGTCAATAAATCATATAATGTAGCAGTCAATTGAATCATTCACATGTAAAATTAGCTGTGTGTGTTTGGTTGGTGGCAGTGATTGTAGTTAAACAAACAAAACTGTCAGAGGATGGATGTAGCAGACATGTCCATTAGTTATACCTCAGTGAGAATAACTGGAAAAGCAAAGGTACAAATATTGCAGCTACTGTACAGTACTTTGCAGTGTTCTTGATGTGAAGGAGTGTCTTCAATCCCTAACTATTTGAAAATAGTTGGTCTTTGAGCAAAACTAATGGTAAATATGGCAAGAGTTTACAATACGGACCTGTCGGAAGGAACAACCTAAGGAAAAATGTCTAAAGAACAAAACTTGTCTTACCTCTAAAACAAAAAAAAAGTTGGAATTGCAACTTTCCTACAAAGCTATGTTGATACACCGGCTCTGTGCAGCCACCAGTATCGACTGTTTACACGAGCACTAAAAGACAAACGTTTCATATACATTAGCTAACACTTCTGTTCCAGACAAGAGAAAAATTATCAGCAACTTTTTAACAGTTTTGTAAAAACAATTATAGCTTCTTTCTCAAATTAATAATATATCAACAAATAACAAAGTTTTACAGCAATATTCATATATTTAATTTGGATATTTTCTCCTGGTCGGCAATTCACACCTGAAGTGTCTCATCACCCACAAATGTTTGCCAGAGACCAGCAGCTGATTAAATTATTCATCATAAATAAGATACACCAACCAAACCTTACCTAATCTAACAAACTTAACCAAGGATGGAAATGGATTATAATTTTCGGTTAGGTTTGGTTAGGTAAATTTGTTTGGGTGTTATTTTGTTAACAGCTGATATGGACAGTTGGCAGGGACAGGTTTGGTTAATTTGTGTTAGAATTGTTTGCTGGCAAGCTCGTAAACAGTCGAACCATAAACATGGCATCCATGCATGAGAAAAAAATTGAGAAAAATAAAAGTAGGAAAGTTGCAATTCCTCCAATCTTTTTTTGACTAATTTTCACCACTTATTACCTTACTAGCCATTCAGGTGGTTGGTCTGTCCAGTGTTAGTACAGGAGGAAACCGAACTCGAGAAAACCTATGGTGTTTGGTAGTGAGAGTCACACTGGATAACACCTTTCTCACTTGTGTCAGTACTGAGGCACAAACCCTTGACATATTGGTGAGATGTGCACGTTACCGCTGTACCTAAACTGCTCCAGTTGTTGACAATTACCTTAAGTATTACCTTTGTTTTATTTTCTTCACCAAACTTGCCTTATTTAGATTGATATAAACCTTATTAGTGGTGATCCTGTTAATAAATATGAAGATATAGAGTTAGGAGATTCGTCTTAATCTTCAGGCAGTGGTTATTTGTCCAGTCACGGACCTTTACCTATTTCTGCTATTTGTCCGGCATTCATTCTTCTTTAGCTGAGGATGATGATGCCATGACTGGATAAATAACCATTATGTATGGCAGTTGTTATTTATCTGGTCACGGACATTTATATACATTCACCAAAGGTAATTATCTTATATTCATCCTGACTGCTCGAGGCTGATGACATTGATCCTAACTACTGAATCCTAACCTAATCTACCCAGCCTAACCTAATCTAATCTAACCAGCCTAACCTAATCTACCCAGCCTAACCTAATCTACCCAGCCTAACCTAATCTACCCAGCCTAACCTAATCTAACCAGCCTAATCTAATCTAACCAGCCTAATCTAATCTAACCAGCCTAACCTAATCTAACCAGCCTAATCTAATCTAACCAGCCTAATCTAATCTAACCAGCCTAATCTAATCTAACCACATTTACAAATGACTAAATGTATTAGTCTACGTCATCAATGCCATCAGCTTCGAGCAATCAGAACGAATGCCAGACAGATAACAGAAGCAATATTTATAAAGGGTTTTTAGACGAGCAGACAAATAACTACTGTGTAATCTTCACCCATTATTTAGAACAATAAAATTATCATATTAAATACCAGAACTGTTATTATATATTATTAAACTAAAACTAACAGTCTCAGGTCACCCCACAACAAGCATGAAGCAGTAACCTTGACACCACTCTCATGCACAAATGTTTCCTAATTGCAATTTTTTAAGTTTCTTCGTAGTAATATGGTGGATTGTGGCAGTGACGTGAAGTATAATATGCTTGCAATGTCTCTAAATACCTTGTTCAGTTCGTAAGCCATTTCCTTTTTGAACATTATTAATATCTTCTTCAGTAAAGCCTGCCCAGCCCCTTGAAGACATTGTGTGTTTACATCTGCTGTCATGAGTCAAGGCTGCCAACATCGCCTCTCTAATATGTAAATTATATCGTGCCTTTTACTATCTGTTGGTGTCTATAATATTATAAAATAATTATATAATAAGTATTTTTATCATAAACTATATATATCACTTTCTGACGATATTTTTTTTTAAATATATCATTTAGATATTTCAACTACAATGTTGGTATGTTTGACAATCTGCCAAGTTGTACAGGTAGACTAAATGTAAAGTATATACACACCATCTCTCTCCAGTTTTAAGTTTCTTCCAGGTTACTCCGGTTTCTTCCTGCTTTAACACTGGACAATAAAGTTACGTTAAAAATAACAAATAAACTGATCGAACTGCTAATAAACAGTAATAAATGGTTTCAGCCTTAAATGGGTTTAGTCGTGGTCTACTTGTAACATTATTCTATGGACTACAAAATCACATTTTCTATGCGTCATATTCAAGGGTGATACTAGTAACGACTAATTAGGTGGTACTAGTAACGACTAATTAGGTGGTACTAGTAACGACTAATTAGGTGGTACTAGTAACGACTAATTAGGTGGTACTAGTAACGGCTAATTAGGGGTACTAGTAAGAGGTAATTAAGTGGTACTAGCAAGAATTAATTAGGTGGTACTAGTAAGAGATAATTAAGTTGTTCCCATAAAGACTAATTAGACAATACTACTAGATAAGCATGAGCATTATTTCCTGCTTACATCAAAGACAAGTGTGTGTGTGTATAGGCCTACCCACCCGTCATTAACCTACCGTTGGCCTTAGTAACAGGACACTGGTCAGAGTAGGTCTATCTGAGGATCCCACTAGGCCTATCTATACCCAGGACTTCTGTATACATATATAGGTCAAGGTCGTCTGGGGAGCCACAGTATTTCAGGGTCGCAAAATCGGCCCATAGATAGAATAAACACCCCAGTTTATCTCGCCTGATGATTAAATACTCTAACCTTGACTTAAACTAATCTATTATACCCTAACCTAATCTAATCTAGCTTAAAGTAACCTAATCTACCTTAATCTAATTTACCTTAACCTAAATTGCCCAAAACTTAACTAGTCAATTTTAGCCTTACCTCCCGTGTACACCTCCCATGTACACCTTCTTATGTACAGCGGGGTGTAGCCTGGAGGGACGGGGTGATTACGGTGGAATGCTTGATGATGAGTGTTAGTCTTCCTTAGTAATAGCGGCCGCTTGGAGACAACCAGCGCATGACGGACTTGTACACGGGCCGCCCACTCACTCACCCGTACATCACATATATTACACATCCCGGCAGTGAAATACACATTCTCACATGTGTATTATGTAATGTATTTATCTATGTACAGTTCGTGAGTGTAAACCTATATATATATACATCACGTTCGTCGATACAGAGTAATATGTTATAAATTATCTCTGCATCCTCGCTCGTCTATATAAATGATAAACAAATTGTAAACTAACATTCATACACATTGTGGACTCAATGTGTAAGTCACTATGGCACCGAAAACCATCCCAACCCACGAGAGACTATCCCAGTTCGGTCGAATAACTCTACCAGTGTCCTAAACTATCCCGGATGGTTGAGCGGATTGACGGACAGGTGGATCCAGAGGTTGTGACGTCCAAATGCCCTAGCAGGAGAATGGCGAAGACGCCTTGTGTGTGTGTGGTGGAAGGGAGGGGGAAAGGAAGGAGAGAAAATGTAAGGTTGGAAGGAATAAGGGAGGAAGGCGAGAAGGAGGTAGGGATAGAGGGAAGGCGAGGAGGAGGTAGGGATAGAGGGAAGAAGAAAAGGCGGGAGGGATAGAGGGAAGAAGGAATAATGGAGAAAATGAAGGAGGACTGGAGAGAAGAGGAGAAGACAGCTGGGAGGTGGGAGGGAGAGATGGGAGAAAAAAGGAATAGGGAAGGAATGGAGAGAAGAAGAGGAGAAAGAGGGAGGAGGTGATATGGTAAGAAGACCCACAACAGAAGCAGTGGTGGTGATATTTTATGAATGAACCTTGTGAGTGGTACAGTGGTGTGGTAGCCAGGGTGTGACTCATGGTGTGGTAGCCAGGGTGTGACTCAACTACTGTGGCTCTTCTGATTACTCTTCACCTCCTACCTCCTCCTCTTCTTCTTCCGCCTCTTCTTCTTCCTCTCCTCCTCATCCAAGTGAAAAAGTGTGTACATACTAGTTAAGACATTACAAGATAGAAAGCCTCCGCCTCCTTGTAATGTCAATTAGATTAATAAACTACAATTAAATGTAATGATAATAATAACACTACTACTACTTCTACTGCTTCTATTACTAATACTAATAATGGGTAGGTTAGGTTAATTGGTTAAGTTAATTTACGTTACCTTTATTTACATTAACTAAATTGGATTACATTAATTGAGTTAATATTGGTTAAGTTATATTTAGTAATTTTTGTCAGGTTGAGAAATCCCGGACCCGTCAATAATTTGTAAATTACTCAACAATGAACGTCAACTACGCAAGCGTTCGTGATTCACTACGATGATTTGATACACGATACAACGATGACACGGCCAGTGGTGCTTCCGCATAACGGAGCATATACAACGAGATGAACCTCTCTCTCTCTCTCTCTCTCATCGCTTTCATATCTGGGGTTAGTCAATGATCGTTTTACCACTACTACTAGCACTACTACTACTACTACTACTACTACTTCTACTACTACTACTAATAATAATGAGAAGACGAATATTCTAGTTCAGGTTATCCTAATGTAGCTTAACCTAACCTAACCCTGCTTGGAAGCGAAAGGGTGTTTAATGATCAAGTGAAATAAGCTGGGGTATCTAATCTCCACGTGATCCAGACCTTGTCCTATAATCAGGGAGACGCGAGGCTACAGTACGCCACCAAGTGTGTTATATTATATAGGTTACAGGAGCAACAGCACTCCCCGGCCACTCACAGAACACGAGTGGATTGGCTAGGCTGCGGTCCAGTCTAACGTTCACTACCGAACCCCTGAATCCCTACACTCTGAACCTCAACACTCCGAACCTCTCACTCCCAACCCCAACACTCCGAACCTCTCACTCCCAACCCCAACACTCCGAACCTCTCACTCCCAACCCCTACACTCCGAACCTCTCACTCCCAACCCCAACACTCCGAACCTCTCACTCCCAACCCCAACACTCCGAACCTCTCACTCCCAACCCCAACACTCCGAACCTCTCACTCCCAACCCCTACACTCCGAACCTCTCACTCCGAACCCATCACTCCATAATAATTCCAACAAGTGAATAAAATATCATACATGTTAGGCGTCTTATTTAAATATACGACGCCGTTATTTGGAAGGTTTAGGGTTCAGATGGGAAGGTTCGGTTGATCAACACATGGGCTACTCCACACCCTCCACACTCCGCCTCAGTCCGGAATTGGCGAGTAATGTGCTGTGGCTCGCTAGGCTCCACTGACTCTTCTGGGTTATCGGGATTTATCAGGGCTGGTTTATTGCTTGTTACTGACTATTTTGTGGTTGAGTCGAGCAGTCGGCCAGTCGGTGTGGCTGTCTGTCCGAGTTTGAGTTTGTTTGGGTCAGTGTCTAGACTAGAATATATGATGGTGATCAGCGATTCGCTCCACAACACGTCAAAATTGGCCTCGAGGAGTTTGCGGGGGAAGGGGGGGGATAACAAACACAATTACCCCACAACGAAATTACCTTAATTATAAAGTATATGTAAAATGTAAGACTGAAATATTAATTTATATCAATGCAGCTCTTGTTTTACAGGGCCGAATCATTCCGCTTATTTTTAGAACCGATTCCCGTTAAACATCACCAAATATAGTTCAGGAGACGGGGAGCAGCGGCCGTCCACTGAGAAGCCCTTGTGGCACATTTCCATAAAATGAACCCGACTTTTTCTTCTAGTAACATGAGTGCGTTTACGGTTTCAATCACTTATCCAGGCGACCAAGAGGGTGCAGCGCTCGCCTCCTGTTCTGGGGGTCAGCTGTGTATGGGTACTGACCTAACTTTACAAATTTGGGGAAGTGAAGGCGGTAGAGTGTAGCGTCCGCCAGGCTGCCTCCCTGTGTACCAGAGGCTCAGTATACTGTATGTTGTATCCTAACGGGCCGCCATGACTATGTGACCCACTTTTACTTTATTTTATACCAAACATCACTGCTTATCCTCACCTCCTCTTTTACTTCCACATACCTCCTTACTTCACCTCCCCCTCTTCTCCCCTTTACTCCTCCTCCCTTTACTCCCCCTCCCTTTACTCCCCCAGCACCACCACCACGCTCAAGATATCAACACGGAGGAAAATACTCGTACTAACATGTACCACAGTTACCTGGACCAGTCCCCCCTAACTACCTCTCGGTAAAACAACTCTCTTTTTACCTCACCCTGTAGCTTTCTTGGTGGGGGGGGTAGGGGGAGGTTAAGGGTTTATGGGGGGGTTGAGGGTGTTTGGGGGAGGAATTGCTGAGTAAGGTTAGAAGGATATCCGGAGGGGTGAGGAGAAATGAAGGAGGGGGAGGAGGGAGGAGGGGGTGGAGGGAGGAGGGGAGGGGGAGTCACAAGAGAAAGTAAAGATGAAGAAAAATTCGGAGAAAGATAAATATTTCTACATTAAAGAAAGTTTTAAGTAAATCAGTTGAGTCATGGAGTTGATGGGGGTATTTCCGTGGGGGTATGAGTCAAGCTGGAGGTGGTGATGGAGAGAGAGAGAGGGGGGGTAGGGGAGAGAGAGAGTAAGAGAGAGTCAGGGAGGGGAGGAGTTTGAGAGAAAGTATTATCACAAACGGTTCATAAATTTAGCGACTACCTTATGACTGGAGGAAAATTGGCGGGGATTTAATATTAGCGATGATGATGATGAGTGTTGGGGGGCAGTTCGATGTGATGAGCCTTGACCTTGACCTCTGGAGATGGGTCAAAGGTGAAAATCAAAGCACAGGGGGGGGAAACGTGTGTGTGTGTGTGTGTGTGTGTGTGTATTACATACAGTCCCATTATATCTCACTTCATTCCTTAGCTCCACTCTTCCTTCCTCTCTCTTCTGTTCCCTCCTTCATCCCTTTCTCACTTTCTACGGACTGCCAGAGCTACATGCGCAGCGGGATATGAACAGTTGTCTCTCTTCTCTCTTTCTTTCCTCCTCTCTCCTCCTCTCTCAGGAACTAGAAAGTGGGTCTGGCGTCACTAAATCCACCTGATGCCAAGGAAGTAATGCCTGCATACCTCAGAGACTCCACCTGGTGTTACGGAAATACTGTGGTGGTGGTAGGTGGTAAGGATGGTGATGGTGGTGTGGGGTGGTGGTGGTGGTAGTAGGGGTGTGGTGGTGGTAGTAGGGGTAGTGGTGGTGGGTCGAGGGGCAGGTGGTGGTGGTCGTAGGGGGGTGGGTGGGTGGTGGTCAGGGGTAGTGGTGGTGGTCGTAGGGGTGGTGGTGGTGGTAGTAGGGGTAGTGGTGGTGGTAGTAGGGGGGATGGTGGTGGTGGTCGTAGGGGTAGTGGTGGTGGTCGTAGGTGGGTGGTGGTAGTGAGTAAGACGATAGGGCCCGAGGGAGGGAGGAACGTAAGTGACCTCTATACGCAGCGAGACAAGAATCCGGATTTATAACAAGATTTCATGACGTTGTGTCTTTTCTCTTAAGTGATGCTGCTGCTGCCTGGATGTGTTGGATTACCTGTAGATTAATCACCCTAATTTAATTGAATATAATTTTACTTGACCTAACCTAGACTGCCTTAAGTTAACCTAAGCTAACCTAACTTAACTTAATCCCCCAAGATAGTATTAGAGGGGTTAATCTTCAGGTGACAAAAGCTGGGGGAGGGTGTCTAATCTTCAGGTGGTCCAACGTTTTGATTGAAGGTAATCTTAATATAATTTTGATTCCATTTTGTCTCCTAGCTATCTATCTATCCCTCCTCCCACTTCATTCTCTCTCTCTCTCTCTCTCTCTCTCTCTGTGTATTCGCTATCATGTCAGGGTAGTTAGTGGATATGTATAGTCTGGCTTAATTGCAGGTAATTATGACGTCACGCTAACGAGCATCTAGGTGAACAGGATATTGGTTAACGGTGAGAGAGAGAGAGAGAGAGAGAGAGAGAGAGAGAGAGGTGATGATTGGGTAAGGAGTAGAGAGGGGGAGAGGAGAGGAAACGCAACTGATTGGCTGGGAGGGAGGGAGGGAGGAGAATACACCACCTCCTCCTCCTCCTCCTCCTCCTGGTGGTGGTGGTGGTATCAGTCAGTCCTCATTCCTTGCTCAGGTGCCGCACGAGACAGAGCTCCCACCATAACGCTCCTAAGACACACACACATCACCTCATATAAGAAGAAAAAACATTATATAGTTTTTCTTTGACTGAAATTTTTAGAGAAGAATTGTTTTTTTTTTTGGAGATTGTGTTTAGAAAAAGGACCCGTTTGTTTGTTTGTTTGTCTTTGTCTGTTTGTTTGTCTCACGGAAATAATATATCTTTAAGTGTACATATTAAAGACTCTCGGATAACTTAAGACAACTCAACTACTGTGCTTGTAATGATCGATTTGTGACACCTGTTGACGCACATTATACAAGGTAAGTAATGACTGACACACCTTACTCTAATGATCTGAATTGGCCTGGGTAGTTAAAGACCGGTGTGGGTTAATGGATCACCTGAAGAATCGTCACCCTCGGTTTATTTCGCCTAAATATTAATCGCTCTGATGCTAACCTAACCTAATCTGACTTAAACTAACCTGACTTAACCTATTCTAGCATAACCTAATCTGACCTAATTTAACCTAACGTAATCTAATCTATCTTGACTTGACCTATTTTAACCTAACAACCTACCTTGATCTAATTGACCTAACCTAACCTCATCCCCCCAAAATAGCGTCAAGGTGGTTAATCTTCAGGTGACCCTAGTTAAGGACCTTAAACTCTCATATCCTGGGTTAATGCCCCATAGATACCCTGGATTAATGCCCCTTGGATACCCTGGGTTAATGCCCCTTGGATACCCTGGGTTTATGCCCCTTAGATACCCTGGGTTAATGCCCCTTAGATACCCTGGGTTAATGGCCCCTTACATACCCTGGGTTAATGCCCCCTTACATACCCTGGGTTAATGCCCCCTTAGATACCCTGGGTTAATGCCCCTTAGATACCCTGGGTTAATGGCCCCTTACATACCCTGGGTTAATGCCCCCTTACATACCCTGGGTTAATGCCCCCTTAGATACCCTGGGTTAATGCCCCTTAGATACCCTGGGTTAATGGGCCAATAAATTTACAATACGAAATGACCAGATAATTTTTCTTATTGGATATAATTTAAACGTATAGAACTTCTTATACTGAAAACTTTAAACATTCATACTAATAACATTTAATTTTAATTCATACATCCCCAGTATACATGAGTTGGTGTATGAGTTGTAACGAGATAATATATTAATTAGATATTATAAATTCGTAAATTACTGATAACCCCGGTCTCCCTGGCGTGACGTCAGTAATGTAAATAAACAAAACACTGTGGATTACATTTATGCGTGAGTCAGTCGTAGTAGGACCCCCGTACTGTACCACTCTACTGTCAGCTGTGTCAACAAGAGCGTCAGGTAGTGATGAGGGAGAGAGAGAGAGAGAGGGAGACGTCCACAGAAGGGTGAGGGTGAGCAGGGCCGCGCATTGTCGTTGTAGTGGTAGTGGTGACCGTGACCGCTGCAACTAACTTACCAGAAACAACCCCGCGGCCACCCAGGGACATTAACCACACACACACACACACAAGTACTCATCTATATACTGCTAACACTCTCTCTCTCTCACTGGCCTGTCTAATCTGTCCGTCTGTCGGTCTTGGTCGGGGACATCAATGCGACACAAGTACTGATCCAAACTTTCCTCGCTCCCTCCCTCCTTCCTTTTCGGGGTATTTCCTTGACTCTCTCTCTCTCTCTCTCTCTCTCCCACACTCAGAGAGGCTATCCCCCACCCCCTGTCATAACGGTGTGTTCTACTACTGGTCCTCGCCTCTTACGTATGGACGGGCGGACAGTCATCTGCACAGCGAGGAATGTGAGTGTGCAGAGAAAAATACCGAGTAAATGAAATTAGTGAGTATGGGGACCGTAAAGAATGTTATATGTAGTATACTGATAACCACACACACCACACACACACACACCCACACATACACAAAACACACACACCTCACACACACACCACACACACACACACCACACACACACACATCAATCCCCACAAACATCAACCACCTATTCAAACACTTCTCCCACTCCCCCCTCCCTCCCCCGGTGTGTAAATTACCCCCTTCTCTCCCTCCCTCCTACTCCCCAGTGTGTACAAAAGAAGTCTCTTTTACTGTTACGTGAAGTGTAAATCTCTTTTGTTTACAGTGCACATTGTTCCTCTGTCTGCTGGTGTGTTTACAAGGGGTGGCGAGAGCCCTACTTTACGCTGTGTTACTGTGTTAAGATGTTAAGGTTAATGTTAGCTGGCTGTGGTGGTCTGTATGTATGTATGTATGTATGTATGTATGTATGTATGTATGTATGTATGTATGTATGACAGCATTTACTCTCCCAGGACTCTCCCTCCCCCACCTCTCAGGACTCCTACACCCGTCACTATCTACCTAACTAACGATATACCGTCTTGGAGTAACATGGACGCCATCTTGTATCCTAATCTTAGGGGAAAAAAGTGAAGTCTGAGGCTTTTGGGAATCCGGGTGGAGGAGTGTAACGGGACCCAGGATAAACCAGGACAAGGTTCGTTCCATTGACCTAGATATTTGTAGGAGGGTGAGAGGCGGGTAGTGGTGGAGGAGGGGTGGGGGTGTAGGGGAGGTAACGGGGTACGATCGTAGAAGTGAGAGAAGAGAGATTCCATTGTTGTGACAGTGTGTGTGTGTGTGTGTAATGTACGTTAGGAATAATTGTGTGAGTATGCTTTAAAGCTAATGGAACGGTCTTGATATTACCAGTCACTTCTTATTATTTTTGTTGTCATTATAACTTATAAAGGTCTATCTTAACATAACTTTATCTAAATTAGGCTAGGTATGGATGACGTTCATCAATATCCCTTATGACGGGGTTTGAGTGGGAAGATCAGGTGATTTAACCCCTGATAGAATATAAAACAAAATAGAAGCATTTATAAGGTAAATAAATCAAACAAAACACCATCGCTTATAGGGAAAACGAACACAAGAAAAGAATAACGATTATGAGTTATTTAATACGAAGGCCAAGCGACACCCGTATGTCTCCTGCTGGCTGTTGGGAAAAAAGACATGCAAGGAATAGTAATTTGTCTTTCTATGAACATAATTTATATAACATATGTTTTTCGAAAATACCAAAATTCTCTAGTGTTATGGCGCGAAGTCTGAAAGCGATCTCGGATGATCGAAGAGACTGATGGATGAACGCGCAGACTTAAACATATTTAAAACGAAGAAAATGGGTGAAGTAAAACCAATAGTGAAGAGGAGAAGGAAGCGTAGAAGAGAAGGAAGAGTAGAAGGAAAAAAGCGGTATTCTGTGTGTGTGTGAGGGAGGCGGGGAGGATGGTGGGCGCCTATGGTCAGCAATACCGTTATGTTGGCGTCTCGTCTCGTCCTAGCCTGGCTCCCTCTTGTACCCCCAGCCCCGGCCTCCGCTCTCACCCGCCTCCAGAGCCACACCCGGCCACCACACCACGCGGCAGACTCACTGAGCCTCCCACCACGACCACACATCTGCAAGGAGTCTCCATTAAGCCTTCACACAACTACACAATCTCCACTAAGCCTCCAGAGCAGCAAGTGTAAGGCTCATATATCGCTCCACTGCCAACACTATGACCTACTTCCGGTGGTCAGAAAGACATCACAGATAAATAGATCGATAGAGTGCAGGTTATATAAACATTAGTAAACAGTGAGGCGATTTGACCAATGATAAACAGAAGTCCTATTTATTATTATTATTATGAACGATGGAGGTGAAGGAGGAATGCGTGTGTGTGTGAGAGAAAGAAAGAGAGAGAAGGAATATAGAAGCATATATACAAGAGCCCAATCACGTCATGCCCTAGGGAGTGGGAGGGAGGGAGGAGAGAATAACAGTGATTACAATAATAACAAAGGTCTTACAGTGTGACGCTCTGGTATCAACACAACTAGTAACAGCACCAACAGCCAATTTCACCCTTACTAATGACACACCTCTCGTCTCACACAATAAAGACAATAAGAACTAATTTTTCACTCTAGTTATATTAATAAACGTACCGTCAAGTTAAATTTATATTAATAACATCGGATGGAATTTAAAGTGTATTGTTGTTAAATTTTATGATGAGGGATTTTAATTAGAGCTGACACATTTAACTTGAGACTTAGACACGACTTGGTAGGGTTAATATTTTTGGACTATCTTAATTCCTTTTCCTTTGGTTCCTCCTCCTCCTTCATGTAACTCTTCCTCTTCTTCCTCCTCCTGCTCCTCCTCCTCTTCTTCTTCCTCCTCCTCCTCCTCCTCCCATCATCATCAGGTATCTTCCGTGACCATAATTAGTAATATCCGTCAAGGTGTCACTTTCTTCACCACTGTCTGCAGGTACAATGTAGTGAGTCTCGTTAACCTGTGGTGATGACCCGAGGAGGAGGAGGAAGGGAGGGGGGTGCAGAGTAGGAGGGTGAGAGGAAGAGGAGAGGGGGAGGTGGAGGGAGAGGGTAGGAGGAGGAGGGTGAGAGGAAGAGGAAAAAAGTGAGGGGGGTAGGAGTAGGAGGAAAGGGAGAGAGAGAATAAGAGGAAAGAATGAAAGGTGAAGGAAGTGGAGGAGGAGGTGTAGGAGGCAGAGGGGTGAGTGAAGGAGGAGGAAGGAGAGAAGGGGAGACATGTAAAAAAAGAGAAAGAGAGAAACACGTAACACCCCACAACACTCACTACCCCGTCACACTCTTCCTTCCAGTGTTACGCCCGTCACCAGCCGTCACACACCTTATCCCCGCGTCTATAGGCCCACCTGCGGACTTTCCTTGCGGTGGCCCAACTGCGGACTCTCCTTGCGGTGGCCCAACTGCGGACTCTCCTTGCGGTCGGTCAGGTGACGCTTTACGATGCAGTTTGCGGGCAGGTTACGGTAAACTTAAGAGTGTATCAACGTTACCGGATTCTCAATGACTTATACGGTCAATATCTCTCTCTCTCTCTCTCTCTCTCTCTCTCTCTCTCTCTCTCAAGCGGAGATGTGAGTACGTATCTAATCGGCTCAATCAAATTACGCCATAAAAAAAAATGGCATCTCAAACGTTCGTAATTATTTTTTTTTTACCTTAACCAGAATTTGTGAACGAATCTCATTGGTTATTTTACGATAATATACAAAGATGGATTCTCAAACGTTCGTAAATTCTTTTTTTTCTCACCTTATCTGGAGAAATGAAAATGACACGAACGCACAAACGAAAGTCAACAAACCTCTTCTTTTTTTTTACCAGGACGGAAGGGATAAACGAGCTGTACCTAAGTAGATAATCCTGGGAAATTAAGGGTTCAACACACGTGATT